TAAACTGCACTATTTTTCGCCTCGTCTAAAAAATTGTTTTCATAATCGACGACTTGAAACGTTTAAAGACGCAGGAATTATATAAAATGACACAATCCTGTTACTCAAGGACTATTAAACTGCACTATTTTTCGCCTCGTCTAAAAAATTGTTTTCAAAATCGACGATTTGAAACGTTTAAAGACGCAGGAATTATATAAAATGACACAATCCTGTTACTCAAGGACTATTAAACTGCACTATTTTTCGCCTCGTCTAAAAAATTGTTTTCAAAATCGACGACTTGAAACGTTTAAAGACGCAGGAATTATATAAAATGACACAATCCTGTTACACAAGGACTATTAAACTGCACTATTTTTCGCCTCGTCTAAAAAATTGTTTTCAAAATCGACGACTTGAAACGTTTAAAGACGCAGGTATTATATAAAATGACACAATCCTGTTACTCAAGGACTATTAAACTGCACTATTTTTCGCCTCGTCTAAAAAATTGTTTTCAAAATCGACGACTTGAAACGTTTAAAGACGCAGGAATTATATAAAATGACACAATCCTGTAACACAAGGACTATTAAACTGCACTATTTTTCGCCTCGTCTTAAAAATTGTTTTCAAAATCGACGACTTGAAACGTTTAAAGACGCAGGAATTATATAAAATGACACAATCCTGTTACACAAGGACTATTAAACTGCACTATTTTTCGCCTCGTCTATAAATTGTTTTCAAAATCGACGACTTGAAACGTTTAAAGACGCAGGTATTATATAAAATGACACAATCCTGTTACTCAAGGACTATTAAACTGCACTATTTTTCGCCTCGTCTAAAAAATTGTTTTCAAAATCGACGACTTGAAACGTTTAAAGACGCAGGAATTATATAAAATGACACAATCCTGTTACACAAGGACTATTAAACTGCACTATTTTTCGCCTCGTCTAAAAAATTGTTTTCAAAATCGACGACTTGAAACGTTTAAAGACGCAGGAATTATATAAAATGACACAATCCTGTTACTCAAGGACTATTAAACTGCACTATTTTTCGCCTCGTCTAAAAAATTGTTTTCAAAATCGACGACTTGAAACGTTTAAAGACGCAGGTATTATATAAAATGACACAATCCTGTTACTCAAGGACTATTAAACTGCACTATTTTTCGCCTCATCTAAAAAATTGTTTTCAAAATCGACGACTTGAAACGTTTAAAGACGCAGGAATTATATAAAATGACACAATCCTGTTACTCAAGGACTATTAAACTGCACTATTTTTCGCCTCGTCTAAAAAATTGTTTTCAAAATCGACGACTTGAAACGTTTAAAGACGCAGGAATTATATAAAATGACACAATCCTGTTACTCAAGGACTATTAAACTTCACTATTTTTAGCCTCGTCTAAAAAATTGTTTTCAAAATCGACGACTTGAAACGTTTAAAGACGCAGGAATTATATAAAATGACACAATCCTGTTACTCAAGGACTATTAAACTGCACTATTTTTCGCCTCGTCTAAAAAATTGTTTTCAAAATCGACGACTTGAAACGTTTAAAGACGCAGGAATTATATAAAATGACACAATCCTGTTACTCAAGGACTATTAAACTGCACTATTTTTCGCCTCGTCTAAAAAATTGTTTTCAAAATCGACGACTTGAAACGTTTAAAGACGCAGGTATTATATAAAATGACACAATCCTGTTACTCAAGGACTATTAAACTGCACTATTTTTCGCCTCGTCTAAAAAATTGTTTTCAAAATCGACGACTTGAAACGTTTAAAGACGCAGGAATTATATAAAATGACACAATCCTGTTACTCAAGGACTATTAAACTGCACTATTTTTCGCCTCGTCTAAAAAATTGTTTTCAAAATCGACGACTTGAAACGTTTAAAGACGCAGGTATTATATAAAATGACACAATCCTGTTACTCAAGGACTATTAAACTGCACTATTTTTCGCCTCGTCTAAAAAATTGTTTTCAAAATCGACGACTTGAAACGTTTAAAGACGCAGGAATTATATAAAATGACACAATCCTGTTACTCAAGGACTATTAAACTGCACTATTTTTCGCCTCGTCTAAAAAATTGTTTTCAAAATCGACGACTTGAAACGTTTAAAGACGCAGGAATTATATAAAATGACACAATCCTGTTACACAAGGACTATTAAACTGCACTATTTTTCGCCTCGTCTAAAAAATTGTTTTCAAAATCGACGACTTGAAACGTTTAAAGACGCAGGAATTATATAAAATGACACAATCCTGTTACTCAAGGACTATTAAACTGCACTATTTTTCGCCTCGTCTAAAAAATTGTTTTCAAAATCGACGACTTGAAACGTTTAAAGACGCAGGAATTATATAAAATGACACAATCCTGTTACTCAAGGACTATTAAACTGCACTATTTTTCGCCTCGTCTAAAAAATTGTTTTCAAAATCGACGACTTGAAACGTTTAAAGACGCAGGAATTATATAAAATGACACAATCCTGTTACTCAAGGACTATTAAACTGCACTATTTTTCGCCTCGTCTAAAAAATTGTTTTCAAAATCGACGACTTGAAACGTTTAAAGACGCAGGAATTATATAAAATGACACAATCCTGTTACACAAGGACTATTAAACTGCACTATTTTTCGCCTCGTCTAAAAAATTGTTTTCAAAATCGACGACTTGAAACGTTTAAAGACGCAGGTATTATATAAAATGACACAATCCTGTTACTCAAGGACTATTAAACTGCACTATTTTTCGCCTCGTCTAAAAAATTGTTTTCAAAATCGACGACTTGAAACGTTTAAAGACGCAGGAATTGTATAAAATGACACAATCCTGTTACACAAGGACTATTAAACTGCACTATTTTTCGCCTCGTCTAAAAAATTGTTTTCAAAATCGACGACTTGAAACGTTTAAAGACGCAGGAATTATATAAAATGACACAATCCTGTTACTCAAGGACTATTAAACTGCACTATTTTTCGCCTCCTCTAAAAAATTGTTTTCAAAATCGACGACTTGAAACGTTTAAAGACGCAGGAATTATATAAAATTACACAATCCCGTTACTCAAGGACTATTAAACTGCACTATTTTTCGCCTCCTCTAAAAAATTGTTTTCAAAATCGACGACTTGAAACGTTTAAAGACGCAGGAATTATATAAAATGACACAATCCTGTTACTCAAGGACTATTAAACTGCACTATTTTTCGCCTCCTCTAAAAAATTGTTTTCAAAATCGACGACTTGAAACGTTTAAAGACGCAGGAATTATATAAAATTACACAATCCCGTTACTCAAGGACTATTAAACTGCACTATTTTTCGCCCCGTCAAAAAAATTGTTTTCAAAATCGACGACTTGAAACGTTTAAAGACGAAGGAATTATATAAAATGACACAATCCTGTTACTCAAGGACTATTAAACTGCACTATTTTTCGCCTCGTCTAAAAAATTGTTTTCAAAATCGACGACTTGAAACGTTTAAAGACGCAGGAATTATATAAAATGACACAATCCTGTTACTCAAGGACTATTAAACTGCACTATTTTTCGCCTCGTCTAAAAAATTGTTTTCAAAATCGACGACTTGAAACGTTTAAAGACGCAGGAATTATATAAAATGACACAATCCTGTTACTCAAGGACTATTAAACTGCACTATTTTTCGCCTCGTCTAAAAAATTGTTTTCAAAATCGACGACTTGAAACGTTTAAAGACGCAGGAATTATATAAAATGACACAATCCTGTTACTCAAGGACTATTAAACTGCACTATTTTTCGCCTCGTCTAAAAAATTATTTTCAAAATTGACGACTAGAAACGTTTAAAGACGCAGGAATTATATAAAATTACACAATCCTGTTACTCAAGGACTATTAAACTGCACTATTTTTCGCCTCGTCTAAAAAATTGTTTTCAAAATCGACGACTTGAAACGTTTAAAGACGCAGGAATTATATAAAATGACACAATCCCGTTACTCAAGGACTATTAAACTGCACTATTTTTCGCCTCATCAAAAATTGTCTTCAAAGTTGACGCAGGAGTTATATGAGTATTTTATCGCATTTTCTCTCACTACAAGTCAATCAAGAATTTTTTTGTGTGATTCCATATAAAAAACTTTCATATAAATCATTGTAACACTATGTAAATAATTACTGCGGAGGTTTCAAATAATATATATGATTGTGATTTAAATAAGAGTAAATAATGAAACGAATTAAACGAATGAAACTGTAGGCATAATGATGTGTTAAGCAAGAAACAAGAAGCTCGATATTGAGGCCAAGCGAGTAAATCGCAACTGAAAACTAAAAATGATCTTGTCGATTTCTCTCTGCAGGCGCAAGAGCGCGCCGAATATGGTCTGTGCGTTTTCATCGAGGAAGTGGTGGTGCAAGTTCTTGGAATCTTATTGATTTGCTGACTCTCAATTATGACATTGGATTGCCGACTATGAAGGGTTTCTCGCACCGGATTAGAGAAAAAATAAAACACTACACTGCTAAAGTTAGCTCACCGCCAAATCTAATTATCCAGTCAGGCCACTAGGCGGGTGATGTCACGACATTCATTTATTTAGAAGAAAAAAAGAAGCCTGTCAACTTAAACTATAAGATGCTTGACACCACCCTATATCACATGCAGACTAAAAAAAAACGCAAATTTAATTAGGGCGACTTAATTTAGCCTGAATCAGTTCTAGACAGTTGAATCCCACAACAAGCTATTGAAAAGAGCAAAAATGCACAAGAAATTGGATGTTCTGTTGGAAATCTGTTGAGAAATGTTCGAAGTGCTTTTCATTATTTTTAGGTCATTAACTATTTGTAAAATTGATCAAGCAGATGGCACAGCAAAAGTCCAAATTTAATTTATACAATATGAAAAAAGCGATATTTAAAAAAAATTTACCATCTAGTAGCACCCAATTAAAAATTAAGGATTTGGACGGAAAACACGGATTTTTTTCTCAAGAGAGAGCTTTCAATTTTTTATTTTTAAATAAAGACAAAATGATGCGAAACGGTTGCCTTTGAGAAGCGTGGGTTGACGCCCAACTGGGATTTCCTTCATAAATCTGTGAATCATAATTCGAACAAACGCCTTAATTTGAGAATATCCGAATCTCCTTGATCATGCAGAAATAAAAATGCATGCGTGTTTGGTACTCACAATGGTGCAAATGTAACTAAAACGTGTCTTCACAATTGGTGCGCGAGTCTCTGAGGCCCTTGAATTTGCTGACGACTTCATCTATGGAAAACTCGCCATGCACTTTGTTGTCTCTTGTGCGGACATTGACGGTGCGTGCAGTCTTTTCCCGCTCACCAACCACTGAAATTAGAGAATTTGTGAGAAATAAAATTTTAATAAATGCGTATCCTGTACCTAAAATGAAGTTGTACTGGGCGAGCTGAGCGTTTCTGATTTTCTTGTTCATCAGGTCTCCGGCATCCGTGTCAGCGTCACACATGAACCCAGCGTCGTAAATGATCTTCCGCACCTCTTCAGCGTAAGAATCAAACTGAGGACCTACAGGCACCACGGTGCACTGCCTGGGTGATAGCCAGAAAGGCCACTTTCCAGCGCACGATTCGGTCAGGATGGCGATCATTCGCTCGACAGACCCCAGGATGGCTCGGTGAATGATCACAGGACGAATCTTTTCACCAGTATCACTGCAGGACAAAATAAAATATTAAGTAAAGAGCTATTCAATACCATTTCTTCAATTATATTGATTTTTTTTTTATTAATTCCATGTCCAAAAAGATATTTACTTGATGTAGTTCAGGTTGAAACGAATGGGCAGCTGGAAGTCCAACTGGATTGTGGCGCACTGGAAGGGCCTCTTCAAGGCATCATTGATGGTGATGTCGATTTTTGGTCCGTAAAAGGCACCGTCACCTGGATTCAAAGTCCACGGCGAACCAAAAGCGTCTAGACTGTCAGCCAATTGCTGTGATTGACTTTGTCAGGTGTTGTTATAGCCAAATAATTATTCTTACCTTTTCCGCATCATCCCAAACGGAAATTTCTCCAAGGAAAGTTTCTGGTCTTGTTGAGAGGCGAAGTTGGAAGGTAAATCCGAAAATGGTGTAAACGTGTCTCAGGAAATCAAGAGCTCCCAACATCTCTTCCTTGATCTAGGCGTCAAATGTAAATATTTTTATTTTACAACTTCTTTGTCAAGTGTATACCTGTTCCACAGTGCAAAAAATGTGAGCATCATCCTGCTGGAATCGTCTGACACGAGTGAGACCAGACAGGGCACCAGAAAGCTCATTTCTGTGCAAAACTCCAAAGTCTGCAAACCGCAGGGGGAGTTCCCTCCATGAGCGTGGGCGGGTGTCGAACATCAAGCTGTGAAAAGAACCGCAAAAATTAATTATTGCTACGTCCAATATCAAACTACACACCAGTGACCAGGACAGTTCATGGGCTTTAGGGCGTAAGTCTCCTTCTCAACCTCAAAGCTGAACATGTTCTCAGCATAGTGGGCCCAATGGCCAGAGGTTTGCCACAGCTTTGAGTTGTAAATGTTGGGCGAGACCACCTCCTTGAAGCCTCTCTTCCAGTACTCTTCACGGATGAACTCGATCAGCCTATTGTATATCACTGCTCCTTTGGGCAGGAAGAAGCAAGACCCAGGACTCAGCTCGTGGAAGAAAAACAATTCTTGTTCCTGAAAACGAATGTGTAAATTAGTTGGTGGCTTAAAAATAAAATATGGATCAAACCTTTCCGAGTTTCCTATGGTCCCTCTTGGCTGCCTCTTCCTGGAACTTCTCCCACTCTTTCAATTGTTTGTTATCAGGGAACGAGATGCCATAAATGCGCTGCAACGATTCTTTGTCTGCCTTGCCTTCCCAATAGGATGCGGAATTCTAAAAAAACTTATTCGATAACTGTTTTCGGTTTTACTTAGATTGATTACCTTGGTGACCTTGAGAGCCTTGACCTTTCCAGTGTGCCTCACGTGAGGACCTCTGCACAGATCAATGAGGGGCCCACACCTGTAAATGGTGGTGGTAGGGGTTGTGACCTTTTCGTTCAGGATGCGAAGTTTGAATGGATTGTACTGAAGAAACAAAATTATATAGAATTTGATCAAGATTCAATTATAAAAAAATACTTTGAACATATCCAGTAAAACCTCTTTCCTGACCTCCAGACGTTCAAAGTTTTGCTTTTCTTTCACAATGCTCTTCATTTCCGTCTCAAGGGTATTAAAATCAGACTGGCTGACCTGCACACAATTTGAATCATGCAAATGCTAGTGGAGAGTCTTAAGCAAAGTATACCTGCTTTCCTTCCACAAACATGTCGTAGTAAAATCCATTTTCAATTGGAGGTCCGTAACACAAAAAACCTCCGTAGACCTTTTCCATGGCCTCTCCGAGAATATGAGCAGTTGAATGCCAAAAAACTTGCTGAGCTGAATTAAAAAAAAAAAAAAAATAACCTTTTTTTACAGATTATAATTTAAATTGCCTTCTTCGTCATCAAACTTCAAAAGCTGCAGCTTGGCGCTCTCTTCCAAAGGTCTGTCCAAATCCCAAAGTACTCCATTGACCTTGGCAATGACTGTGTTGTCAGCGAGTCCCTGACTAAAACGGACAGAAGTTATAAGATTTAAATCTTAGCTAATCGTCGTGCATTACCTGATGCCTTTGGCAACATCATAGGGTGTGGTGCGCCAAGACTCGGCCTGCACAATCTTGCCATCAGGCAGAGTAACTTCAATTTTTTCAGAAGTTTTGGCAGCTAAATCATCAAGATATGATTGCTTCAACTTGTCCCAGATGACCAATCGGTCCTGAAAATTCACATCTAAATTGTTCCTTTAAAAAAAAAAGAAACAACGGAGTCTTACATTGATAAAGAGAGGCAATTCTCCTTTAGGGGCATTTCCAGCTCCCTTGTTTGGGGTTCCCTTTGCCTTCCCCTTTTTGCCGGAAGGCGCTTCAGATGCCACCTGGAACAAGATTGAAATAATTAATTAAGATTTAAACAAGAATTTATAAAAACATAGGTTTAAAAATATATTAGATATTATTTTAATGCTAAAAAACTCAACAAATGGCAAAAAATTATTTTATTTCAAAATAATTATAACAAAAGTGTATTAAAAAATTGAAAAAAAAAACTCCAGTCACAAAGTCATGCGCTGCTCTCACCTGTGGAGCAACAGCACTACCGTTTTTCTTGCACCCTCCAGTCATGACTGAGGCCGAGGGTGGAAAAAGCTTGACGGCACTGCCGAAACTTTCAATGTGCTTGTACCAGCGGATTAAATGCGGCAACGACTGGGGAACTTTGGACAAGGTTATCATTTGAAAAAGGCCAACGTCCGCCTGGGAGGGCTCGAATCCGTCGACGTAGCTGCGCTCGCCGAGATGCTCGTCGAGGCCTCTCAACCCTTCAGCACTTGACAAGTCACCAAAGTTCATAGCTATTCTTGAGTCAAAAACTTAATTCTATTCTGCCTAAATAAAATGAGGACGTGGACAGAATCAGAATTGTTAATAATGTACTTTGAACATTTCACTACATATATATGCGCGAAAACTTGCTTTTAAATAACTAAACGGTATTGCATATTGTGAAGATAAGATATACCGCAGACGTAATAATATAAATAAATAAAATCTGATGCAACGTCTGTAATTTGGTCTGCAATGTCTGCATCACATATAAATTGTGAACCACAATAATAATAGAGGGGCCTCTGCAAATCAAGACAAGAGAAAAGACGAAGGATTTCAACGAACCGCGACAAATCTCCTGATTGATTTCGGTCTCAAACTGAAGGTGGTCAACTCAAAAACCCGCCTCAACATCGCAATCGAAAATAAAAAGTGTTATTTCATGCCTTTTCGGTGGAATCTGGTTTGCTCGATGCCGAATTGTCGCACATGGAGTCCGCCATGCTACTGATCGCTGACGTGACGTCACCACAGACACAGTGGCCGCGCCTTCTGCGAAATTTCTATTCTGCATTTAACAAAAAAGTGCTGCCTGGCCTTTGAGAAGAAAAATGTTCGTTATTGTTAGATTGATAAAATGAAAACTAGTTTTTGGTTTATTGTATCTTTTTATGATTCAATGTTTTTTTACGAAAGCATAAATTTAATTTATCTCTTTGATTTTTAAATTATTAATTTCTCCTCTGCTTTTTCAATAAAATTTAATTGATTTAATAAAATTGATAAATATTTTCAGGTTTCAAAGGAAAATGTTCATCCGTCAAGCTCGAAATTTCTCTCAATCAGCAAAGAGTATGAAAAATTTGCCCAGAGGCTCTGAGGTGCTTTCGGCCTACATCAAACAGTGCAACGAGCCTCCATGGACGTCGTACTTCATTCGCTACAAAGACATCAAAGACGACCAGTGGGGAATGTCCCATTTCAACTGGAAGGTTGGTAACAGCAACTACCACATTCTCCGCACAGGCTGTTACCCGTACATAAAATATCACTGCACTAAACGGAGTCCGCAAGACTTGGCACTGGAGGACAAGTTCTTCAGAGCAATCAAATGCATAAATCTTGGTATATATATTGTACTTTTAAAGAAAAATATGAAAATATTATGATTAAAAATTTACAGGTATTCCATGCCTAGCTTATGGCATAGCTGCGATTTATTTAATTAGACATGTTGAAATTGTTTTCCTAAATGGACACCAAGTGCCAATATTTTTCTTGTATGAAGAAGACAAAGGTTCGGTGTATTAATATTTTTTACAATTGCACACTTTGTATTACTAAGCGTTTAAAATTAAATTATTGAGAGAATGCTGCTGTTGATTTTTTTCCTTTTCCATAAGCACTCATTGCCTGGAGTCACACTTGATAGTCTCATATCTCCATTTACGATTTTTTCTGCAATTCATATTCACATTTTAGTTCATAGAAATTTTTTCATCTAAGGAAAAGTAGATAGTAGATCTATGTAATTCAAGTTTTGCCATTTATCAGGCAATTGTTTAAAGAATTGAAGACTAAATTATTGACCGCAGTTTTCATTTCCATAATAATAATACCTGCAATCATGTCCACATTTCAACGATCGGCATTTGGGACAAGGGAAGTGACAACCTCCGCACTCAGGAATGTTGCAGTCGCAGAGGTTCTCTCCTGTGCTCACGAGCAACCCCTCTTCGTTGTACAAGTACTGGAACTTGCTCCTTTGATAGAGCAAAAAAATTATTTATGTAGCAAAATACATGATTTTTCATATTACTTACTCTGTGTAAATTTTCCGAGCCAACTTTCGTCTCTCTCGATTGCTCCACACGTCGAAATCACCAGGTTTGTTTTTGTTCTGATTACTTTGGTTGTTCCTGCCCATTATTATTTTTAATCGCAGACGAAAATAAAGATTCAAATTGTCTTGTGTTTGCGGTTTTGTGTTATGTTTACATTCTACGCGTGGGCGTGGCCGGAAAGTGGGGCGCGCCAAGGAGGTCAAGGCAGAGGACATTCATCTGTTTTTTGTTATTGACTGACGGAAGACGGAAAAGCCCCAGCAAGCGGCCCCATTATGAGTTATTAACCAAAATATTTTTATTTGTTTCCGGACGATTAGTGCCGAATTTTATCTTCTTGCTCGGCAAAGCCGTGTCTGCCAGCCATCTATGTTTGCAGACTTCTTTCATTTCTCGCTCATCCGCCTCAGGACCTAAGCGAAGAGCAGATTTTCAGGTGCGGGCAAAGATCACCCTCGACCCCCACGACTAAAATGAAATGCGAGACAAAGTGATTACAATTTTTAACATTTGCAGGTCTAAGCAGGCAAACACGGCCTCAAAGTGTCGAAGCATAAAGTGGTGTCGCCACGGGCCTCGGCCTCGACCCCTGGCTCTGCCAAGGATGGCTCCACCCTGGGGTACTTCGCATCCCACGGCCAAGGTCAAACCACCAGGGGTGGCCTCAGGGTGTACAGGATTGTTGTACTAGGGGATGGAGGTGTAGGAAAATCAGGTGTGTCTTGAGCCGCCCATGATTTTTGAAATTGTTTTCAAAACAGTTCCATTTAAATTACAGCCCTCACTCTTCAGTTTGTGAGCCACAGTTTCTTGGACTATCACGATCCAACTATTGGTAATTTTGTTTAAACAAGACGTGAAAAACCAAGAACCATTATTTATTCATTTTACAGAGGATGCGTATCAACAGCAGGCTGTTATTGATGGTGAGGCAGCATTGCTGGATATTTTGGACACTGCTGGTCAGGTTGAATTCACTGCAATGCGAGACCAATACATGAGATGTGGAGAGGGATTCATCATTTGCTACTCCGTAACTGACAGGCGAAGTTTCCAAGAAGCTGTTGAATACAGAAAGCTGATCAGCAGGGTCAGAGCCACTGACGATATTCCCTTGGTTCTAGTCGGAAACAAATTTGACCTCAACAAACAACGAAAGGTAAGAATAAAAAAATTAAAAAATAGCAATAAAGAATATTAATATGAAATTTCATTGCCTAGGTGTCTACGGAGGAGGGAGAGGCGCTTGCCAAGCAGCTGGGTTGTCCGTTTTTTGAGACATCGGCAGCCTTGCGTCACTTTGTGGACGACTCTTTTCACTCTCTGGTCAAAGAAATCCGAGCTCGCGAGCGAAATCAAATGGGCAACGGATCTGCCAAGGTGGACAAGCAGAGCAAATGGCGCAGGTTTCGCAACATTTTCACTGTGGTATTCCGCAAAAAAGATTCAAGCAGGTACCAAAACTGAGGATAAGAAAGGAGAATAAATTTGTCAGTACTTTGAAAAGTCTCAAGATGAGTGATAACAATCTTGTCGAGGCACTCTTTGGGTGGTTCCGTTGGCGTCAACGACCCTGTTCCACTCGTTGATCTCTATAATGTGCATTTTGAAATTTATTGCTTTTGTGTGTTAAAAGCACAAAGCTTGAGATTGATCTAATAGCCACAAGTTTTGCAAAGGTATCTAGCTATAGCCACAATTTGATTGATGCGGTTTTTGAGGACCGTCTTCTAATTGGTGCACTTTTTTAAATTAATGAAAATTTATGAATTTGTTCGAATGGCGCGGGAATAATATAATGTCAAACAAAATGTGTAGGACCAATCAATCTGTTTGTACTTTGTCGTAATTTTTTATATTGTTTTAACCCTCTTTGATGTCATATAGCCAATTTTAATGTGTATTGACGCCCTTGAAACAAAAATAATTTATTGTCAAAGAGGCGCAACTTTTGTCTACTCTCAACTAATGTGTAATCTCCGACCGGCCTCATCTTGTGAGGTTTGCATGCCAAAGAGAATCTTCCCCTTGGATAGTGACCCTATTAGGCTTGTCCTAATGTTGAAAAGGAGGATTTGATGATGTGTTGTTGTTTTAATGTCTAGCAAAAAGTATATCATATTATATATTTACTGTTGTGGAGAGTTAAAACAAGTCAGTGTTCTGAAAGCTTGCGAACGAAGCACCTTCAGCGTTGATTGTGATTTGTGAAGTAATTTTACAGCTGCCAATTTTTGCACATAGGCAGAAAGTGATTTTTGACCAACCAAAGGAAATATTGATGATGCGTTACAATAACAAACTGTTGTTAGAATTTTATATTACATTTGCAAAATGCATTGTTCCTTGATTTACAATCAACGACAATTTGATACATTTGCCAAACGAATGGATTAAATTTGTGGAAACTCGCTTTTCAAACTGTGTGAAAATACTGAAAATGTCCCAGAGAGATTGCAATTCATTATCAAGTGGCAAAACACGTTTAATTGCTCATTTTTGTATATCTTGGCTGGAGAATTTGCTCGAATGTTAGGCACAAGTAATTAGTGACAGAAACGCAACATATGCGCCGAATGTTTCCGTTGCTTCTGAAAAGAATGGATTAAATAAAAATATTCTATATATTATTAAATGTAATTGCGTTCCCCGTGCTGGGAGAACTGGGCGCAAGTGTCTAATGACGCTAAATATAATTTGGCCCTGATGATTCATCTCTCAATTATATTTTGCACCCTGAATTCACATTATCAGCTCCCATTGTTATCACTGTTAAATTAACCACACTATATGTCACAATTTATGATTAATTTTTAATTTTTTCATCATTAACTACCAAAGACATGATATTTTTATCCTGTAACTATCTAAGTCTTTTATTCAGTGATTAACAAGAGGAAAAGTAAACCTGTACTAATTTGATAATTTTTACCTAATGAATGACTATTTCATACCACTCCAAATAAAATTATGGCATTAACTGAAAATTTTCTTGCGCTTCATTAATTAATATATTCCTTATAATCTCGGTCAGTAAAAGAGCTCATAGTAAAAAAATCAATATTTTAGATCTTTTGGTCTATAGTGAATTTAGATGGAAACAGAGCAAGCTCAGCATAGTGTGCAACTGTGCTTTGAAGTAGCAATGCACGTGCGAAGGAATTATTTTTAACTTTGTGTGTGGAGGGTGATTTAATTTCACAAGCAAGATGCAAGCGAAATTTTGCAATACTACTATTCCGCCGCCTATTCATTTTTATGGCAAAAAAAATAGTATATTTTTTTGCACTTGCTAAAATGTTAGTAAGTCAAGTAAGGAAAATATTGATTTTTTTTGTTTTGTCATTAAAAATTACTAATTTTATTAGTGCAAATTATGTTTACAATATTTTTTTCCCAAACTAATTTTTTTATTTTATCCGATTGGCGGGGCGGCGGCAGCACCGGCGCTTCTCGTAGTTCTCGTACTCTCGTGTTTGTTATTATGAAAACCTGGCATTGTTCTCCGCGAGCAGAACCGCGGCTATAAATTCGTCCCGTGACTTTGCACCGTCGCACCAGTCAACTGTCAGTCAGGGCATTAAGAACGGCAGCAAGTATGATGTTGCGAAGCATCGTCAGGAGCGGACTTCGCGCCCAGCAGAAATGGGCCGTGGCCGCGTCCATGTCTTCGGCTCAGTCCCTTGCGCCCATTGTCAACCCTCAAATCAAACAAACCGGCGTACGTGCGGGACACATTTTCCCATAACATCTCCCTCCGTTTTATAGACAATGTTTCAATGAGCTTGGCTGTCAATAATTATTTTATGTGATTTTTGCAGATTTTCATCAACAATGAATGGCACAAGTCGGTCTCGGGCAAAACGTTCGCCACTATCAACCCTGCCACCGGGGAAGAGATTTGCCAAATTCAGGAGGGTGACAAGGTTTGCTTAAATTTTTTTTACAATTATATTATATGGAATGAGAGATATTGGCTTTCTTCGCACTATGCATTTCAAATGATAAACAATTTTCCAGAGTGTGCTGTTTATTCAATTCGGCAAATATTAGCGGCGTCGTTATCAAAATCTGAAACCCTTCAAGGTCAAGTGTGTTGATAGAGAGCTAAACCAAAACTCTCGTTGCTGACCAGTGACTAATGGAGTTTAAACATGACGATTAAAAATTAACCTTTCCTTTAATTGGCTTAATTTATTTAAAATGGATTTACAGTTTTTTTCCTCTAATTATTTTAAGTTTTAAATATATAAATTTATATTTATTGAAATCTAGAGATTTCTTATATAATCTTCACAAATAAAATTGATTCATCTTCTTGATTGTGGGAGTTTACAAGTTGGTGACCTTCGATTGCAAACCTGTTTTTGCGAACCTAAAAAGCAGCGACACAAGCAAAATTGGGAGACAACTTTTGTGCTAGCTAATATCTTATAGTTTTTTTTTTTTATAAAAATTTGCACAAAATTAAAACTAATTATGTACTTGCGTATAAATTTTGAATTAAATATTGCAAATATTGTACAAAATATTATTATTAGAAAATAAAAATTAATATTACATTGTAATTTATATTTTTTAATTTTTTTAATAAAATTTATAATAAATAAAATTTGAATTGAATTGAATTAATATTTTGAGTAATAATTTAGGTTTTCAAGTAAAAAAATTTAAAGATAGAGTATTTATTGAATATTTAATACAACTAGGTGTACAACGTAGCGCAGTAAGTCAAAATTTAAAAAGTAAATTAGGTATAATTTTGTTAAATTAAAATTAAAAATACGTTTTAATTTTTTTCCACTTAAAATTGACTTAAATTTTTATCATTCATATTTTTATTTTTCAGGCTGACGTTGACTTGGCTGTCAAAGCTGCTAACGAAGCCTTCAGGTTCGGTAGCCCGTGGAGGCGCATGGACGCGTCTGACCGTGGCGTCTTGCTCAACAGACTGGCTGACCTCATTGAGAGGGATGCTGTTTATATTGCCGTAAGCATCTTCTGTAGGGATTGTGAATTCTAAAATAAAAAATATTATAGAGCCTGGAGACAATTGACAACGGAAAGCCCTACTCGAGCGCTCTGGCCGTGGATGTGGCTGCCACCGTCAAGTGTCTGCGCTACTACGCTGGCTGGGCCGATAAAAACCACGGCAAGGTTGTGCCTCTCGACGGCGACTACATTTCCTTCACAAGACACGAACCTGTTGGTGTATGTGCCCAAATCATCCCCTGGAACTTTCCTCTGCTCATGCTGGGCTGGAAAATCGGGCCTGCCCTGGCCACAGGTAATATAATTTATTTGCTTGATAAATATTTTTACTTTTCAAATGGCCTCTTTTTTTTCTTTATATTGAAATTAAATTTTGGCTCTTTTTTGTTTAAGGAAATTGTGTGATTGTGAAGCCTGCTGAGCAAACACCACTGACTTGCCTCTACGTAGCTGAACTTGCCAAAGAGGCTGGATTCCCTCCAGGAGTCGTCAATGTCATTCCTGGCTACGGTCCAACCGCAGGAGCCGCCCTGACATACCATATGGATGTTGATAAGGTGGCATTCACTGGATCCACAGAGGTATATTTGAAATGATTTTTTTTTTCAATCAATTTTTATGTATCAATTTACGTGTACCCTAATTAATGAATATATCAAGAAATAGATTATTTAAAGTTCATCCCTATCATTATTACCTGCAATCATTAATGTGATTATAGATTGGCAAGTTGATCAAAAAGGGCGCAGGAGAGTCCAACTTGAAGAGAGTGACTCTTGAACTTGGAGGCAAATCTCCCAACATAATTCTCAATGATGTGAATGTGGATCAAGCTGTTGAAAATGCACACTTTGGTCTTTTCTTCAACATGGTTTGTTGCAAGAAAAAAAAACAAAGATTTTATTTCATTTACAATTAAAATAGGGCCAGTGTTGCACAGCAGGCTCGCGCACCTTCATCGAGGAGGGAATTTACGAAGAGTTTGTGGAGAAAAGCGCTGCCAGGGCAAAGAAGCGCATTGTTGGCAACCCTTTCGACCCCAAGACAGAGCAGGGTCCTCAGGTGGACGAGGAGCAGCTGACCAAAATTCTTGGGCTCATCGAAGCAGGAAAGAAGGAGGGCGCCAGACTGGTGGCTGGAGGCGCCCGAGAAGGAGACAAGGGTTACTTTGTGCAGCCGACTGTTTTTGCTGATGTCCAGGACAATATGCGCATTGCAAAAGAAGAGGTGCCAAGTTGCCAGGATTTAACAATTTTTAAGTAAAAAAGTTCTTTTTTAGATTTTCGGACCTGTGCAGCAGCTGATCAAATTCAAAGACCCGAAGGAGCTGCTCGAAAGGGCCAACAATACCGAATATGGACTGGCCGCAGCCGTTTTCACGAAGGACATTGACAAAGCCATGTACCTTATGCAAGGCATCAGGGCAGGCACTGTCTGGTAAAATACATGATTTTTAAATTTGCATAGAAAACAACAAGAAAGACATCTTAATTTTAGGATCAACTGTTATAACATCTTCGGAGCTCAGGCAGCCTTTGGTGGCTTCAAGATGTCTGGAAACGGCCGCGAACTCGGAGAGTATGGACTTCAGGCGTACACCGAAGTCAAAACTGTCACCATGAAGGTGACGGAGAAGAACAGCTAAGCAAGGAACAGGTGGCGTTATACACAATAAATTTTTGAAAAAAAAACTGCCTCAAAAACAGACTATAAGCAGATTATAACAATAATGCTGACCTCACATTTGAACGGATGATAATCTTCCAAAGCACAATTGCAAAATTATCACAAGTATACACTGCAATTATTATCTTTTACTTTTTGCTGCTTAGCTATGCAATTACTTTTGTATATCATCTATGAATTGAATACACCATGATTTTCTCAAAACGAATTTGTATTTTTCCTCTAAATGAAAATAAATTTTCTTAGAAATATTAATTAAATTTAATGAGTTTCTAAGCGCAAAAATGATCAATACAAAATTTTTGGATTTTTAAATAGTCCTCCGCTGTGAGTCCAGAGGCCTTGATCGCTTTGGCTGCAGCAACTTCCTCTTGCTCGGAGATTTCTTCTTCATGGTTTGGCTTTTCAATATTCAGAGAAAATTGGTCGTCAATGTGGGAACCTTTTCATGCTAAAAAAGAAAAAAAATGGGATATTATTTTTTATAAAAAATTCAATTAAACTTCCTCCATCTGTACCTCATCTGCCTCTTTCTCAGCAGCCTTCTTCTTGATTTGTTGGCATGATGGAGCATTCTGACAGTGCTATCAGTTGTTCCTTGAGCTATTTCAGAGACCAGCTTAGCTGAATCATCAGTTGTTCCCTCCATGTTGGCCTTCAGCTGCTGAAGCTTGGATGGCTTTCTTTCCTTGGTGTTGTCTTTTCTTCTCCTTTGGAAGATCAACCTATATTTTAGTTCATTTCACCTCAATATAATCATAATTAAATAATTGAAAAAAACTCACAACTGGAACATCATCATCAGATTCAAGATCACTGCAGTCGGAGCCAAACAGTTCCTTGCTCATGGTGGCATATTTACTCCTTCTCTTCTTGGGGGCTCTTCACCAATGAGCCATCAGTGCGCTCTCTTCTTTTTCTCCGGCACCTGAGCTTCCACAGACATGTTTTCCTCCAACCTCTCAGGTTCTCCATTCCAATGGGCATTTTTGGCCTTGCGAAATTTTGGTTTTGCTGTTGCAACATTATTAATTGTTGGTGTTAGAAACTTCACCTTATTCCTCTACCTTCTTGTCCCGTTTGAAGTCCATAATTCTAAATGAAAGCAAACACTGGCAAGACTTTTTCTCAGAATGAAATCAACAACCTATTACATAAATTTTTTGATTTACAAGTATTTAAGCTTTAGATTTAAATTTTAAGCCCTTTTGTAATCTTCGATCATTGAAATGATTCTTCTAAATTTTTATATTAAAAAATTTACGAAGATATCTTTATAAATTGTTCATTCAATGCAATATAAATTTGTTTATTTACGAAGATATCTTTATAAATTGTTCATTCAATGCAATATAAATTTGTTTAATTTATTTTGAGAAGTGAGCAAACGAGGCAGGAGAAAGGGTGGTTGCAAGTGGTTCACTTGGATTCTTCCTCTTCGTCAGAGCTGCTCTCTGAAGATTTGCAGACCGGTTGCCGTCGGTTCGTGTTGACGAAAAGGTCACTGTCTGAATCACTTTGCGCCTCTGAAGGTTCCTCTAGTTTAGTGTTTTCTGAAAACACTTCAGGCCACGCACCGTCTTTCTTCAGCTGCTCAACGTGGTCTTTGTACAAAATTCTGACGATCTCTCCTTGCACTTTGACGCCCTCTTCTATCCTCTCAATCACAACAAAATCACCTCTTTTTATCCAGACATTTCTTCGGTATTTTGTTGGCATCGAAGCCAAAAATGTTTTTCCACTTTCCGATGAAACCTGAGAAAAAAAGGGAAAAATGAAATATTTTTACCCCTTTCTCTTGTTGCCATTCAAGATATTTACTTCTTCCTTATTTGTACAGAATTATTTAAAAAAAAAACTACCTCGTGCAGGTTATTTCCTTTGCTAGCCAATACTTTAGCGATTTCTTGTCCAGGGGCAATCTCAAAATCGGGATCCTGCAACTCCTGGAAAACGTGTTTCCTCTTAGTTGCTTCAGACATTGTTTTAGAATCACCTGGAAATTTGTTGCCGATTAAATTTAGTCGTCATGTCGTCGAATATTAACTAAGGAAATAAATATAATGTGTGTATCAACAAATTAAAATAAATATTAGGATAAAATTCTCGCATATGTACATACCTTTTCGCTAATTTGACGTCAAAAAATGTCTAGAAACTATGGAATAAAAAAATTTTGCTTTTGTTTATGTACATGCGGCGACCATGACCATGTGCTTGCTGATCTGTTGGCTGAGCTGCTACTAAAATATGCGATTCTACAAAGGAGGAGTAAACTTTTAATTTGCTTCATCCCATTCAGCCAATCCCCTCCTTCAAATTTTCAACCAACCTTAACTCCTCTCCCAGCACCCATAAAAATCGATCACCTGTTCCACGAAACGGCGCCGGTGCGGACTTTGTTGTTTTCTTCTTCGAGTTTTTCGCTCTAGAAAGTGACCTGAGACCTACGTCCAGCGCGAACAATTCGCTTTTAATTTTGATAAAATCTCGGCTTCTTAAACTTGCAAGTCTTAAAAAATGTCCTGGTCAATGACACTTGATGTCTGGGCCGGAGACTGGGGGCTTCCGTCGATCGATCTTGACTGCCTCAGGGTCATGGTGAGTGTTGCGTTCCAAACATCCAAATCCAAAATACATAGATTTTTTTTTTAATTATAAATATAATATTAAAGTTCGTGTTTTGCATTTGCACTTTCAGACTTATGCCAGGTTTTGTGGCGCCCCCGTGACGCATAGAGTGGTGCGTACCCCGTATTTTTCACCCAGCGGGAAACTACCAGTTTTTAGACACGGACCAAACAATGTCTTGACCGATTTTGATGAAATTGTGTCTTACTTGCACGCAAAGGTACATAAAATAATAATTAAATTGTAATTTTCTTAAAATTCAACTGATTGCAATTTTTGTAGAATTTTGGCACTGATCTCAGTAAAGCACAGAGTTGTGAAACAGTATCCTATTCAGCATACCTTGAGGAAAAGTTATTGCCTGCTCTGCTGCACACATGGTTTGTAATTTCACCTTGCGCAAAATTTTTTCTTACTTTCTGTGGCTTCAAAAGCCACTCAGTAATTTCATAAATGCTAACCACACAAGAAAATTTATCGTAGGTGGCTGGATGAGAAAAATTGTCTCGAGCTGTCCCGTCCTTGGTACGCTAAAACCCTCCGACTGCCGTTCAACTTCTTCTACCCAGGGCAGTACCAACACAATGCCAAATTGAGAATAGATACCTGCTACATTGGAACACCTAATGAGATTGAAACACAGGTAAACACATGGAAAAATGTGAGAAAGGAATATTTTGAATAAATATTTTAGATTTTCAACGATGCAGAGCAGTGTTTGAACAATCTCTCGCAGAAACTTGGGGACAGTCAATATTTTGGTGGCACCCGTCCTTTCTCACTAGACGCAACAGTTTTTGCCTACCTAGCCCCTTTACTCAGGGCACCCTTTCCATCAAATCGACTGCAGAACCACCTGAAAAACAGCAAAGTGCTAGTCGAGTTCTGCAAGAGAATCAGCCAGAATTACTTTGAAAACTCATTCATCAGTAAGTTTTTAATTTATGCATGGATATTGGAAGGTTGGATATGTGGCTTCAAATTTTTACATTGGTTCTCATGGACCACAGAGGAATCTGTTGTCTAAACCACATTATAATGATAATATCTAGTTTAACTTTTGGCACTCTCCTTGATTTTGCAACTTTGTGAAATTTCAGAATTTGATTCGGATAAGAAAAAAACTGAAGCAACAAGTAAAGAAACGGAAGAAGACTTTCCAAATCAAAAACGGAACTGGCTAGTTGCTTCCATATTTGCTACTGCTGCCATGACTGGGTATCTGTTTAGCCAAGGAATGCTTCAGGTAGAACTCCATTCTGTTGGGGAAAATTAAATTTTTATATTTTCCCTGCAGATTTCTCTTCAGCCCCAGAAAAGTTCTGCCAAAAGAGAGCTAGATGAGACCTTAGAGGACATGTACCTGAATCAAGAAACCTGAGCTTCACCTTTGGCATTCCTGTTCGGCCTAGTCTTTTGTTTAGTTACCTCACTAATAATAAGACAGCAATTTCTAAAAACTACAAGTGCTCTTCTTTTCAACATAAAAGTCATTTTTTGTGTCTCTTGATGGTTCAGTTAAAATTTATTGTTTTATTTTCTAATATGATGCAGCGTATTAATGCAACTAGTGCTCAATTAAAAAGGCACACATGCGTTTGAATCACAATTTGAAATTGCTTCGGTGATAACCATTTGGCAACCAACAGATAGCCCAATGTAACATTGATTATTAATATTTCTATTTAAATCTAGTGGACAAAATCCACACATATGCAATCCATATCACAACAAGGAGGGTACATAGTTTTCGTAACGGGTTTACAATTCTAGTTCACGGAAGAAATGACGACAACAAACAGAGTAGTTTGTGAGAGGTTGATCACAAGGAAGATACAACTTAAGCTCCTTATGAGAAAGCTTGTCATAAGCAATTCTGTACTCTTCATCGAACGCAACTATTGTGAAACATTATTTAGTCGAGTATTTGAATAATTAGCTCAAATATTACCTTGATCAATGTTATCCCTATCAAGAGCAGCAAAGGCTAAGAAGAGGATGTCTCGGTAGATGGAATAACTGCGTGGCTTCAGGGCGTGTCTTTCGGCAGCAACTTTATTCATTGGCTCTAACAAATCATTGCTCTTTACACAAGATATGATTTTCTCCATGGTTCTAAAGAAGCATCACTATTAATTTTTATCTGGAAGTAATTAGGAAAAAAGCTTACGCAGCGCATAAGTCTGTCTTTAGGAGAGACAATTTTTTAAGTTGGCGCATTTGCTGCCAAGCAATATACATGGGTCGTCCGACATCCTCATAAAATCTGGGATTTTCCCACAAGCACCTTATTAAAATTCCTGGCTTGGGGACCTCATTCCAACTGCAGTGAATTACACGGCCTTTGCTGACTGTAGACGATTCCAGGCACAAGGAAGGCAAATGGCTCTCGACATCAATTCTTTGAAAGACCCATACCTAAGTAATTGAATCAGTAACTGTTTTAATACCAAGTATTGATAAATTACCAAATTCCAGTATATGATGGGGTGCTCATCAACAAAGTTAGACTTATTGAGAGCCGCATCACCTTCATTGTCCAAAATGCTTTCTATTTCTTTCCTCAACACCAGAGGGTTTAAGTAAGGGACTGTGACAGGTTCAACAGCCACAGGGTCCATGCCACATTCTGAAGCAGGCTGAAAGTAATAAAACATAAACATCTTTTATAATAAAATTCATTATTTTGAGTGTACTTTGAGATCTTCTGTGGGTTCTCCTGGTGTTGCTTTGTCTGCCAACTGACTCTCACTCCGGCTTCGAGTTCTTGACCTGATAATTAAAAAGTTAAATTATGCTCAGAATAGTTAAAAAAACCTACCCTTTGTCATTTCCAGTCACAGCCGAGTCTGGGTGCAGCAAGTCTTTTGAACACGCTAATTCTTGTAGCGACTGGGAACTGGAGCAAGCGGGCAAGGGACTGGCGCTTGACTCTTTGACGGGCATTTCTCTGAAGTCGAGTATGCGAACAACAAGGAACGGAACAACAGGTTTATCACAATGTTGACACCTGCACAAAACAGTCAAATTATTTAGATTTAGATACCAAATTAAACTTACTTTGTATTAAGGTTCGAATCATCTGGGACCCATCCTGCCATGATTTCCTCATCATACATGATGCTCAAGCAATTGTGACACTTTGAACAGGAGGTCATCTCAATCTCAACGGCAATGGCTGAATTTCCTGCTTCTTCTTTCCGCTGATAAATTTTCTCTGGCAGCATGGTGTGCAAAGATAGATTGCTGCCAGTATCTGATTGAAAGTGAAAGGAATGTAATTTACATTAAAAATTACTATCTAATTCTACCAGAGGGGTTGAGATTAGTGGCACTGCCTTTCCTGCTACTGTCGCCGCCTCCAAAGAGGTCGAGCAAGTTGCTGCCCCAGTAATCGACAGCAGCGTACTGCCCCATAGAGCCAAGAGGAGAGAACTCTGGGATGTATGAAGTGTTCCTGCTGCGTCCATCTTCCTCATCTTCAACGACGCTGCTCTCCCTTGTCGAAGATGGCAAGTGGCCACTAATTCACATGATTTAGTATGTGATTATTTTAGATTCAATGACAAATCTTACTACGGTGTTGTTCCTTTTACAGGGGTAGAATTAGAGGATATTACTTCCTTTATTTCATCAAATTTTTTGGCCATCGAAGTAGCTGCCGTTGAAGCAGCAGACCTCAAGTTCATAATCATCTCGTTGGTCCTCTTGCCGGTCAAACTACCCGGGCTGTAATTTTTTTTACATAAAAATAATGACAGACTATCGCAGATTTTAAACAGTGTTTACGTTATGAGTATCATGCTTGCAAAAAATAATAAATAGTATGGGGTTAAACTAAGCTAACCTGAAGTGCTGTGTTAAGGCATTTTGAGCATTTTCGAGCAAGCGCAAATCCGGCTTCCTCAAACTCAGTCTTCCAGGACTGTACCGCCTGTAAGGAAGCAAAGTAATGTGTTCTAACTGGATGCAAAAACCAAAAACAAATTTCTCAAAAGATGCTGCCATTGAACACTAAAAATAATAATCTACTTTCTTAAGCAACAGATAACACAAGCAGCACTTAAATAATCATTCGACACATTAAAGCAATAACCTGAATGGCAATTTGAAACTGGAGCCTAGGCTGCTTAGACTAGAAGCGACACTCGGAGATGCTGCCACTCCAGTACGCATTGCCATTGAAGACGGACTGGCAGGCAAGGTTGATGATCTTTGGATCACTTTCCTCTGACCGTCATCCATGTAGATGTCGTCAGAATCGACACCTGCTCACAAATTTTAGTTTCTTTTACAAAATTATTATTTTAATTTATTACATGACTCTGGGGGAGTCTGACTCTTGGAAATTCCGTCCACACCCAGGCCTTGGTGGTATGTGGCACTTCGCAGTACAGGCGGCGGAGTGAACTTGTCTGAAATATCTTCAGTCTTGCGCCGCTGGCTCCTGGTGCTGTCCTTAAACAAAAGAGGTCCACCAGATCCTTCCTCGGCAATCCAGGACTTTGCAGGGCTCTGTTCGACACTCGGAGGCAAAACCTTGGCATCCTCTTCGTCCTCCTCGTCAACATTCAAAGCACCCAGTGGGTCATTTTCTGTCACTATGGTTCGGGCAGGACTGCGTGGTGTTCTGCTGTAATTTGGAGGGGTGCTTGGTTCTGCGTGTCTAGGAGGGGTGGCACAAGACGGATCTTCATCCCCCTCCTGCATGTAGTCCATCACAGCCTGCTCGAGATCCTGGCTTTCTGATCGAACGGTGTCACTGCCAAGCTTTCCTCTGCGTTTGATTCCGTTGGCCACCTCCGAAGCTTTCTTGGCCTTCTTTTCCTCATTTTGCATAATCACTTTCAACTGACCCAACTTCTCCAAAATCTGGGCATCATTTGCAAAACTTTCGGACCTAACAATTTTAACAAATTCATCTCAACATTTCATTATTTACTGGTTGATACATACCTTAGCATTTGGAAACAGTCATTAGTTTCATTAGCAGACACAGATCGATGATCTCTGGCCCTTGAAAAATCAGAGCCACTGAAGTGGCGCCTCCGATATGCATTATCGTTGGTTGTGCCAACTGATACAGGTCTTCTAAGTTCGACATGATTTTCAGAAAGTCCAGATGATTCTGAAGATAACAATAATGTAGAATAAATCTACAGATATAATAGGGAATTGTTTTACCTGGATGCTGAGGATTCAAAGAGACAGGTGTAGGCGCCTTAACTATGCTGCTAACACGAGGCCTGAGCTCAACCTCCGAATTGAGGTCGTCACTCTCATCAAGGGGTTCTTCAACTTTGTTGACCAGAGGCTCCTCTTCTACTTTCTCTGCATCTGCAAATCGAATATGATTTCCACTTTAAAATAGCAAAAAGATTAAACAGTTAAAATCAAAGAAATTTAATTTAATGAAGCGTTAATTTAATAAAGGCATTAAAAAGGGGCACAGCGCACAGCACAGCCAATTAAAAATCCTCACCACTTGCTGTGTTGCATTCGCTGAGGCATCCGCGCGAGGTCGACTCATACAAAGACCCGTATCCAGCGTCACTTCCTGCCACAAGCAACTCTCTCAAACCCCAATGAACCATGCAATTGAAAATGTAAACTACTAACCTAAGGTGGCAGACTTTTGCTGAGTAGCGACTTCGACAACCTCCTTGCTGTTTCTCACTGGTGCCGAGTCGTGGGAAGAGTTTCCGCTCTCTACTGAGGTCCTGGACACACCTCCCAGGGAGTGTCCATCCGAGTCTTTGTCCATCGAGAGCCGTCGCCTGGAAACTTTCCTTCCAGCCCTACGAAACAAAGCAACACCGAGGATGACGTTACGCAGTTTGGCCCACAGAAGCTGACTCGAGTTCGTAATGTCTGATGGCCAGGCAGCCTCCAAGACTGCCCTGTTGTAGAACCCATAAGTTATGGCATTGGGTTGCATTCCACTCCTCTTCATCAAGAAAAGGAGCTTCACAGCAAGCACTGGCATGTTATACAGGCCGCAAAGTTGCATTACAACACGGTAGCAAACCTGAAATTTTCAAATCAGATTTGCCTAGCTTTATTGCAGTTATCTTCAAACCTCATCAGATGGCTGAACTTTGAGTTTGTGAAGCTTTTCCAGCAAATCAAAAGCTTTTTGTAAACCCTGCGCCTTTGATTGTGACTGCAATACATGACTGGGCAGGTGAATAAACCAAAGGCTGAAATTGGATATTTTAGTAAAAAAAAGCGTTGAAAATAAGGATGTTCAATCATGTATGTACCTATAGCAAGTACTAAGTAGACACTTTGCCCAGTGAAGGGGTGACGCGGATGATTTCCTTGCTGTTTTCTGAGCACTGCGAATCTCGTGTTTGGTGCGTTTTGCAACAGGACTACCAGGCAGAATTGAAAAGAGATTTTCTTTCATGGGAACACCCAGGAACTTTTCAGTCTCATTTTGGTTGAAAAGCAGAGGATTTAGGACAAATCCCTAAATTAATTTTAATTTATAGTCTGCTAAAAAGAAAATTTAGTAAATTACTAACCCTGTACGAATATGTGGCGCCTGAAGGCAGACCCGTGGGTTCAGGTGGCATAATGAAAACTGTATTCTCACTCTTCTGTGGGTCATCTAGCTCCAACAAGGGCGCATCATTGTCATCTGAAGTGCCAACCTAGAAAAATTATTAGTGACTTCAGAAACATCTAAAAGTTAAGAGTTACTCTTTCTGCACAATCATCAAAGAATGCAAGCGATGCGTCCATGTTTGAAACAAAAGACCTCTCTTCGATAAACTTGATAAACATTTGAGTCTTCATAGTAAGTTCAAAAAACTTGTGGTGAGCTCTGTCTCTTGACCGTTTAAAACCTTCCAAATCAAATAACGAGCTAGGATCGGTGGTTCCAGCAGTGGGAGCCTTTGTGATGGGTAAAAGAAAACTTCTATACCCTTTCAACACAGTGGCCATGAAATGCAAAAATGCTTCTTGTATCTCAACCTCAAGAGCTTGCTAAAATTAGAGCAAATAAAATTCCATTTGAACTAAATTTTTATTTTAAAATCAACCTCTTTTCTTTTTTTGATGAAGTCCCAATCAATACTGGCATCGTCAAAATCATCAGTACTGACACTCTGCTGAATATTTTGAGCAGTGATTCGTACTTTTGAGAAAAGTCGTTGCAACGATTTTAGGAGGTTCCTAGCAGCTTTTTTAGGCAGGAGTTTGTAAGTTAAGGGAGTCTTTTCTTTGTCATCACCACTCTGATTACTGATGTAGATTAAATAATTTTAAATTATTAGACAACAAATATAAAAACTCATACATTGTGATGCTGTTTGTATCCAAATCTATGTAGCTAATTTCAGGAGGAGGGTCAAACAGGTCGAAAAATCGAGAATCAACGCCAATCAAGAATGGAAGAGGAGCGTGAAGAACGTAGGCCAGGCTTAGTGGACACAGTGGAATGTAAGGACATTGCCACTTGAATGGAAATATGATCTGCGCATTTAAAAAATGTAATTATTTTAAATTTGTAAGGGCATTGACATACCATTGATATAGCCTCGGCAACAGCAGTCAAAACATCAGGACGGAGGGAGTGAACAAGGATTTTTTGCTCTGTCAATGCAAGCAAAAGGACAAGGAGACAATTATCGGGTCCTAAATTTGATAGCAGGGCACAGAAACCTGCACCACTCTTTGGAAGAGGCAAATCTTCAGGTTGAGTCAAGATAATCCTTTCCGAAGAGGACAACTGGAAAAGGATTCTTGGTCTTTTAGGGGATGGGAACGGCACATTTTCAAGAAAGTACGAAATATATCTGAAAATTATTTTCTGCTTAGTTTTGATAAAAAATTTGTAAAATAATTCACCTTTCCACAGGCACAGCATGAGGTCCATTGCATGTCATTTTATAAAGAAACTTGAGGAACTTTTCAAAAGTATCAAAGAATGGCCAATGTGACAGCAAGCATATGCACTTATTGGTGTTGACATTTCTCAAAGTGTTGGAGTCGTCTAATTTCAACAGCTTTCTTTGGTTTGGAGTTAAATTATCGTCTGGAACTCTTTCGTAAAAGCTTATCGCTGACCCGTAAATCTAGGAATAAAATTTTTAATGAAAAAATGATGCAAATATGCTTTGGAATTAGTACCATTTCAGTACCGTCTGCTACTGTCAACACGAAAGTAGAAAACAAAGGTTTTGGCTGGGCGGCTTCCGCTGGCCAGCACTCGACGGTGGCTCCCATTGGCAAACAAAACATGGGCACATTTTCCGGAAATGGAAAATATGCATGATCTGTTCTAGGATATCTTGCTAAAATTGCTGGAAATTGTACAATTACAATGAATATTTTTGTTAATGAATCATTCAACTTGCCTGATTTGTAAGTGATCAAATTTGGCCGGTGCATTGACTTTTTGTAACAAATGTAGGCCCCCGACATTCCCTAAAATTATTTGATAAGTTCTGCAGACAAATAATAGGTGAATACACTAACCATAAAGTTAAAATTCTTGTTGAGACTTTTGTCGATCAGGCAGAAGGCGTGTGGAGGAAACTCGCCTTTACTTGGATTTATCACACAGACGTCAGTGACCACCAGTTGGTTGCAGGGCATCCGCTCTGGTGCTCGACGGAATGTAACATATGTTTTTGTTGAAGTGCCTGACGTGATGCTGGCTGGCCTGTTCTCAGGGGTGTTTCTCACCACTTGCGAGTCGGACATTATCCTCTCCTTTCCATCGTAAATCACACTGAAAGTTTTAGAGTTGAGACCAGAGTTCAGAATATGTCTGGAAGTAATTTACCCTATATCAACCAACGGTGGTTTGTCGAGACCCCTTTTGTAACAGAGATAAACTTCCGAGCTCTTCATCCAAGCACCGGATGTCAGATTTGCAGAGTGACCTACACAGATTGTAATTTTTTTTTAACCAATTAATTATATTATAAATTAGTTCACCTGAAGGGGTCAGCGTGATGCAAGTGTACCCTGGGGGCACTGACTCCCCCAGAGAGTGAAATATAACTGTGACATCCGTAATCGGTGGCAGGGAGTGTGTAGGCTTAAGACATGTGCCCTCCTGGTTGAACTCTCCGATCTCCACAGGGTTTTCTGGCAACCCTGCCACAACAAAGTAGTCTGCCACTCGTCTCTCCTCCATAGCAGCTGTTGAATTAAAAATTATAATCAAATTTAAATCGTGGGAAAATAAATTTTATGAACTGACACCGTATGTTAGTGAGGATCAGCTAGAGCTGGAGAACTGTACAGGAAATAAATTGGTAGACGACCCTAGCGCATGACTATGTACACATGCAGGTGTATCTGATGCAACCTGCGAACAAGACATACAGCTGAGCGTGTTAAGTGAAGTGGTGCCTCCGGCTGGCAGGGTAATTGCAATGCCCCCGATCAAAACTGGGTCTGAAACACTTGCAATTATATGCAAAGGAGACTCGACAGGCTGGAGAAATTAATAAAAAAAAAAAATATGGCAAAGAGCGCCTAATAAGTGTCGAGCATGCAATGCAAAACTGGTTACAAGTGAAATCCTGCGAGGTGTGACTGTGAATTCATAACAAACCGTGTATAATTGCGGGCGACCAGTGAAACTGCAGCAAAACAATGAGGAGGATTTTATTGCACAGCTGAGCGAGCGAGCAAGAGAAATTCGCAATACAAACGAAAGTTTTCTCCCCACAAAAACGAAGCGGCTATTTTTAAAATTCGCAAAGTTAACGCACGGGAGGAAAGTGGTGCCAAAAATGCACTTGGATTGAAATGAATCACTTGATAATTGCAGCCATCATGTACGGTGTCTGTCATTCAAGGTCAAAACAAGGCGCTTTTCTTGCGGCGACTGCCGCTTTTGCGGTCGAGGGGAATTTCGGCGATCAGTGCGAATTGAGCAACGCGAACTGCAATGTTTACTAACCTCCACTCTAAACCATCTGGACGCTGCGTCGGACGAACTGGACGATTTTTGCCAGCAAAAATCTCTCCTTGTTTGAATATTCAAAACATCTGACAGGCAAGCGCAAGAAGACAAGGAGGAGGGGGGAGGGAACTAAAAGAAAAATTGGCTCGGCGCTCGGCGGATGGCGCTAGTGTGCGTGTGCAGTGCATGCGCCGCAAGAAGTCGCCGCGGGTAACCGCACTGGTTACTTGGGATTTTAGTTGCGATTTATACATTATAAAAACTCAAGGATTTTCAACCACAGTTATTTAAAACCAACAAAAAATATTCTAAATAAAAATTGAGTGGAGTATTTTTGTTACCTCTGTGTTTCTTTTTTTTTTTACATAAATTGAAACTATTTTGGAAAAAAACTGCTAAATGAGAAAATAAAATTTATTTTATTAAACATGAATGATGTAAGGAAAAACAGTCTCTATAATTTGGAATTTAGTTGGTCATCCTCAAAAACAAAAGCTGCACCGTCTTGAGCAATGTCGGTAATTTCACTGTCGGAAAATCCAAACTCAGTCATAACCTCTCTGGTATGCTGACCAATTTCTGGTCTCAGTTTTGTGGCTGCCTGGCTTATTCCAGGAGTTGCGCTCAGAACAGGGGCAGGATTAGGAACTGGCAAGTCATATTTATCTAAATGGGAAATATCAATTTAAAATTTGTAAAAAATCAAATAGGAAAATTACCTATGACAAAAGTCTTTCGCTCCTTATTGTGGCTGTACTTGGTTGCCTCGTCAATGCTGAGCACAGGTGTAACACAAGCGTCCAATTTTTCAAATATTTCCGTCCACTCAGCCTTTGTCTTGCTTGCAAACTTGTCCGAGAAAAGTTTTCTGACTTTCTGTGTCTCTTCTTCGGAGCCATTCTGCGGCGCTTCTTCATCAGTAAATCCCAGGCCTTTCAGAAGCTCTTCATAAAATAGGGGCTCCAGAGAACCAACAGCCATGAAGCCACCGTCCTTAGTCTCGTAGGTGTCGTAAAAGTGAGCACCAGAGTCGAGACTGGGAAATTTAAATTTAAAATCTTATAGTGAATTCAAATTATGGAGACTTACACATTTTGCCCTCTGGCCTTCCCCCAAATTGGCAGCCACTGGGACCGGAAAAGCCAGCTGCTGACATATGCAGCCCCTTCAACCATACTGGCGTCCACCACTTGACCTTTTCCTGACCTGGTTCTCTCCAGAAGTGCCATCACTATGCCAAAAGCACATGTTAGGCCTCCACCAGCAAAATCGGCTAGGATGTTAACTGGTGGGGTTGGCTGTTGGTTTGCTCTGCCAAGCATAGACAAAACACCTGCAATTTAAAATTAATTTTTTTATTCACAATTCATTTTTAAAAATTAATAATTATAAAAAAACTTTTTATTCTCTATTGACCTGAGATGGCTGCATAATTTATGTCGTGGCCAGCTTTCAATGCCAACGGCCCCTTCTGCCCATATCCGGTTAATCTTGCATAAATTAACTTTTTGTTGTCCTTCAGTAGGACGTCCGGGCCGAGTCCGAGTTTTTCCATGACTCCTTTTCGAAAAGGTTCAATAATCACGTCCGACTGCTTGCTCATTCTCTTGAAGACTTCAACGCCTTTAGCACTTTTTAAATTTAAGGCAATTGACTTTTTCCCGTGGGACATTGCATCCATGCTCATCATTTGGTTGTGCTACAAGAAAAATTTTACAAATTATTAAAATAATGTATTACACAAAAACTAAACAAAATAGACTTAGTAAAATACGTGTATAGAGAAAAAATTGAACTGAGATTGTTAATTAGTTTTATTAGAAAATTCTTTTTATTAATTTTATTTGATTAATTTTCTATAAAAAATTTATTAAACTGTAAACAGTTCTCTAATAATATGTAATATCACTTATGACACAATAAAAGAGAAGGAATAAATAAATAAATAAAAAAACATAATTGTCTATAAAAATGAAATTAAATTACATTAGGTTGGATTTTCAATAATAATACATAATAATTGTATGCTGATTGTATGTATAATAATTATATGAGTGTGAAAAGCAAACTGAAAAATCGCAATTTTCATATAATATGTTCATTCAACAAACTATTATTATATTATAATTATAAATTACCTTGTCGACCCTGATGACATTTGCTCCAAAGTCTGCGAGAATCGCTCCGCAAAGCGGTGCAGGAGCCAACCCCGCCAACTCGAGAACTCTGATCCCTTTTAGCGCCATTGCTTTTGAGCGAATGAACAAAATTTCAAACTGTATGCATGCGTAATCTAATCAATTATTCTATCTTCCCACGATTAAGGCTATTTTAGTCTTGGGGACAAAGGTAAAAGAGCTCGGACGTCGTCTTCCAATTTTTTTCTTGTTCTCCGATGACTCACATCACTCACATGTTTACGAAATTTACGATCAACCCCGCCGTCCCCGCCTCCTGACTTTTTGGCGCCAGAATTTGAAAGTTGTTTACGTTCGGAGCCAGCCGGCATTCTCTTTTTCTGTCTGTCAAAACTCGATTTTGAGATCAAAATTTGAGAATTTCAGACTTGAATACGAAGATGTCTACGTATTTCTGGGTTCGAGAACATTAATTGAAGTGGAGTTTTACTTAGGTGAGTGAAAATACTTGATTATCGGGCTGACGTTGATATTTTTAAGGCAATCCTGTATGAATTATGTATTGTTGATTGCATTATTTTTATGGTGTGACATTAAAATTGTACATTCAGACCTCAGGCGTAATTCGGGATTACAATTAAGTTTGTCATGAAATCAAAAAACTTCTCTTGGCTCATTTGGAGGACTAAATAAAATTTTGCGATATAGGACAAATGACATGTTTTGTCGTGGGACTATAAAAAAAATGGTGAAAATATATGTAAACTTAAATTTTGCCGTAGGTTGAAAATTTTTTGTCGAGGTCATTTCCGGTCTCATTTGGAATTCCCAAAATCGAGGACTGAAAAAAATTCCCTCGCAGGACAAATCCTGCCGTGGGACTTAACTTTAAATTTGGTCGTGGGATGAAAACTTTTAGTCGCGGTCATCTCTGGTCAAGGGACTCAACTATAATTCTTTCGCAGGTTTAAAAACTTATTCGAGCAAATGAGCGCTGCGCCCAGCATTCTCAGCAACCAGAACCATTGCTCTGCGCTCACGATTTTGAAAATCTTGCGATCGCAAATATGAGCTAAGCACACAAGTACGTAACGGTGAATAATTTAATTTGGTTTGATTTAAAATCAAAGATTTATTACATATACTATAACTAAATAGCTCTACGGATAATAAAATAATTACAATATGTGTAGAAATTAAACGATTGAAATTATTTTATACGCACAGGAAAAATGTTATTTTGACAAATATATATCTTGGCAATATAAAACGTGCGCACTAAGAAATATAGAGATATAATAATACAATTAATGACATTGGTCAAGCAAGAAGCAATTTGCAAAATTGCGCACTATGCAAATTGTTGGTACATTCGAGGCGAATATCAAGTAGTTTACATTTGTACAAAATGACCGCATGATTTCCACAAAATTTATTCTATGTGACCCGACTTGCAATTAGCGCGGTGAACAAGGCAAACGCCGAGGAGGGAAGTGCGCCGTAAGTGGCACTTGACCTGTGACCCTGTGCCCCCTGTCGCCACAATTTGTGTCGGTGGCAGAATGAGTGACTCATGATTTTGGCACTGACGATGCTCAGCCCCCGCCGTTGCAGCATCACGTTGATTGCTTGGATCTGCTTTTTTCTAGAAAAAAATAAAATAAATTATTTTAAATAATTCTCAATAAAATTATAAATTAATCTGCAGAACTTGCACTCACTTTATATGATTCTTGCGGCCCAAAATAGCTGTGAAAATGTTGTGGGCTCGGTCGCAGAACGAGAGCACCAGGTGGTCTCCAACGGCCTTCATCACCTGAATTACGTCAGGTTGCGATCCTGCAATCGTTTTTACAATTCAATTAGATTCCAATTAAGGGCTGCGTTAGATGAGTAGTCGATAACAAAAATGAAAGTAATGGCTAAGAAATTGCGTGCAAGCTGACTCTGATTGACTAATTTTTGCCAAAGGTTTATTTTTCATTTGTCTTAAATGCATTCAATTATTTAAAAAAAAAAAAAAAAAAAAAAAATAAGAGAGAAATTTATTACTTGAAATAAACTTAAGTTGGCATCAGTTTGCAGTAATTTAATTGCGATTGAAATTGATGTTTATTTTTGTGGTATTTTCAACCATTTTTTTTTTTAATTTTTGCTAGAAAATATTAATTGCCAACATACCATTTCTATTCTCTAATTGAAGAGCGTGCCAGAAACCAGGAGACTCCGCGTCTATCACGGTAATTTCAAACTGCAGTTCTTCTAAAGGTGGCTCCTGTCTCCAAGTCAAAATCAACTAGAAATCGATCGTTCCAAACGTAAATTATTACAACTCAGAATAGAATACTCTAATAATTTCATTAGACTGGTGAAAAGACTTATTTAAAATTAATAAAAATTATAAAAAGAAATTGTAAATATACCAAATTACATACACTGTTTAATAAAGTAAGAAAAAAATATTGCAAAAAAATGCTCTAAAGAATATTCATAACTTTTTCACCAAAATTTTAGCCTAAAACTCATATTGTGGTAGTAAAAATGTTTTTTTATAACAGCTTCAATATCAATAATTAATAATATTATTTCTTTTATTATAAAAGTATAATATATATGGAAAAATATTCCAAACCTTGTTTTTTTCGGTCCGGTCAATAAAAAATACAGAGCATCCAAGATCTCCGCCATCCGCCAGGGTGCAGTTGTAGCGGTGAATTGCGGCTTGCACTACGTACCAGGTGCCTTGGAGCTACGCAATTAAAAATAACCACTAAAATTTCTTCCCAAAAGGAAAATACCTAGTTAATCAATTTTTATTCAAGGAAAAAAGTAATAAATCATCGCGCGCGAATCATTTCTCCACAAAGAAAACCAAGTTGACTTGTTTTGAAAGGCTCGTTCATTCATTTGGATGCAGAAATGTTGAGGCCGTAAATCAAAGCGGCAGCGCGATTTGCTTATCTGCTTGGCGGACGCCGCCTGCACACTTGGTATTTAGACAACCTGTTTGTCGTTCGGCACGCACAGATTGCATAATTTCACTTGCGTTGTATTTTCTCTTCTCGGCGCGGTGCAATCGCAGGATTATTATTTTTATCAACGGGCATGAATCGAATTTATTTGCATAATTTTTCAAGAACGCACGTTGCTCAGTGAGCAAAAGCGAGACGCGTGCCTCAATCAAAAGAATCTTATTGTTAATGTTGTTTAAAACTTTTTATTTTGAATCAAACTTGCTAATAAGGAAATTTTTTTTTATTATAATAATTTTTTACTTTTTGGTGTTCATAAATCTTATCGTTCAATTCTCTAATTATGAGAATAATTCGACCATATTTACTATTCTCTTCTCATAAAAAAATTCATCGCAATAAGTCAGAGATCAATAATAATAACTATTATTATTCAAAGTAGAAAAAAATACTTTGCCAAACAATTTATCGGGCCAGTCAATCAATTTGAGAAGAATATTTTAACACTTGAATATTTCGTCGTGAGAGCAAAATAGGAAGAAAATTTAGTTTGAGTTTTAAACTAAATTTCCGCTCCTTCAATTGATTAATAAAAAAATCACACCTGGTCCAGATCAATTCCTTTCTGTGGGCTGAGGTTGGGGCACTCGTCACCAAAATCGGCCTGAGCGAGGGTGGCGAGTTGAAAGAGGATCCACAGCGCGAGGGCGACCGTCATGGCTAGGCAATTTTTCCTAATCTACTGTTCCCTCAGGCGTCCAACGAAAACACAAAAGACTGGACACAGAGTGTCGCGCGCTCTCTCGAATTCCCCTTCCTCTGATTATGTGGTAAACTGGTGCGGCCGCCTAATGAGTCGTAATAAGGTGCGAGGATGCTGCCAGTGGGTGCAGGTTGGCGCTTCCCTTCCCCACCAAAGACCGCCAGATGCATTCATTAATAACGAGAAGCGTTGAGTAAGAAATTGCGATTGTCCCTAGAAGTGGAGGACAATGTCGTGCCGTAATTGGCGCTTATTAAGACATACTCCCTGTTGGCATCTGGTTTCACTTAATTGCGATTAAACGAAATTAAAAGTATTGCCTTCTCACAAGGCCATGTGCTCGATCTTTTTCTATCTATTTTAAAATTCATTTTGCTTTTTTTAATTATTTCTTCATTATTTGATTTCCAGGTAAATCATGGAGGAAGAGACTAAAAGCGAAAACAGTCTCTCTGCTTCAGACAGCGGCTCGGTTGATTTGCCGCCAAACTTGGACGAGACGACTGCCGACGAACAGAACAGCTCCGTCGCAAATCTCGGAAACTGCTCAAGGTCTGTGTAATTTTCGGTAAATAATTAGGACTCGGCAGTAAAACGATCCAATGCAGGAATGACGTCATTCGGTCTTCTCTCGCCGAGCTGCCGCAAGACTCGCCTCTGCTGCCGATGGTCGCCCTTAGCGAACTTGACATCCGCAGACTGACCACGTTGGTGTCGGTTTTCAAAGCTGGAAGCTCTGAAATCGTCATTGACTGCTGCACGGTGTTCAAGGGCGATTTCCTGAGAAACTTTCCAGCCCAAACTTTTCTTCTTGAGCCTGCAATTGTCGAAGTAAATTTTTATTGCTTCTTCTTTGTCATGATTTAACAGAAATATTTCTCAGTGCTTGATCAACGCGTGCGAACTGAATATTGCGCTTGGCAAAAACGTTGACATTGTTGTCAGCGCCTTAGAATGTCTTCGGCGCCTTGTCGAATCTCTGACTGCCCAGATTTACAAATACCAGGATCCAAAATATGTGGTCATATCTGATAAGGTCTGACTATTTTTTTTTTTACATTACTCATCTTTAATTAAAATTCAAACTTTGTTTAGGTGCTTGACGTCTGCACATCAAAACACTCATGGTCACTTTTAGAGTTTCTTTGGGCCATCATCACAGTCAGCAGCACATGCATCAGAAATTCAGAGCAGTTTTCCATTCTCAATGAGGCAACTTGTTTGCTCAAATCTTGTCTTGCTTTGCATCACGAATTTTTCCCGTCAAGTTGCTCCACCGAAATCAACAGACTCTCCTTGCTTCTGGCAGATGCTCTTAATTCAAAACCACCTGCATTTGCCTATATCCAAGTAACAAAACCCAACTTTCTCAGACCGGCAAGTAATATTTCGATTTTTTTTTTTTTTAAATTCCAGGTGCTGCAAATGATTAAGAGCTTTATAGAGCACAGATCTGGGGCTCTAAATAAATCTCATGTTCTGGCTGAGGTTATACAGAGCTCTGTGATCCATGCAGGAATTTGGCTGTTCAACCCTAAGCTATCTCAGTTTTTCATCGGTGAATTGGAGAACAGCAGACATGACAAAGCGTTCTCTGAACTGCTCAGTTGCCTAGCGGAGATGGCTCAGGCGATTTCCTCAGCATTCAAATTAATGAGCGCTAAAGGAGAAATGTAAAACTTATTATAATGATTTAATTATTTTGATGTATTTCGTATTATTATTATTTTTTTTTTTTAGAATTTCTGAAATGCACATCGAGCAAGCAGTTTTAAGTTTGGACTTCATACCAGATCCTAAAGTCGCAGCAGCTGCGGTTGAAGGAATTGCGAGAGCAAAAACTTTGAACATGACAAATGCACTTCTCTCACTTCTAGCCCACCCTGTTGAGGACATCCAGTTAGCAACTTACCAAAAGATAAAAAAAATAGTCGAAGGAAGCATTGGCAGTGATCAGGCCATCAACCCGACAATTTACTCTGCTGAAAACATTCTGTTCCTGTGTGATGTGAAGGTGGTGCAAGAGATTGCAAGTTTTGGTTTGGAACACTCCAATCACAGGATAAATGTATGCTCTGAGGACATCATCTCTGATTTAATCAGGTGTAGGATACTCGTCTCACCATCTCTGTGGAGCCAGGTTGCAAGTGTCATCACCTTCCTTATTCCTGTACTTGTTGCCAAAGCAGATGACCACAGGACATTGCAGGAAGTCATTCTAAACTATTTTGATTTGTCCAACAAAAATCTAAGCACTTTAGAGGTAAACGTTTATTTAAAGAAAAAAAAAATCAACAAATAATGAATTCATTATTTTAGCTTTTAAAAGGTAATTCCTGTTTGATGTTCAGCAAAAACGAGTCTGTACGAACAGAGGCCACAGATAGACTTCTTCAGTTGTTGAAACAAGACGAACGCAGCTATCTTATGTGGCCACAGACTTCTACTATTCAAATCACTAATGCTGCCATGGCATCCCTATGCCTTGTGCAAGATCCCATTGAATTGAATTATTCTGCACCTGGAATATACTACAATGTAAGCAGATTTTAATTAATTCATATTTTTAACTGAAAAAAACAAACAAAGGAAGCAAGTTTGAGGCAGATAGTGAGTTTGCTTGGCCCCGGTGACTCGGAACCAACTATAAAGTATTCAGCTCTTTGCCAATTGGCTGCAATGCTGCAAGAGCCAAGTCTTATAAATCCATTTGTTCAGAGTGATGGAGTGAAAACCGTCGTCAAACTACTGGAAGATTCTTTGGTATAATATTAAAGATTAAAAAAAAAAAATGGGACGCTTACTGATAACAAAATTTCAGGTGCAGTCCAATACAGACGTACTTTCCAAATGCTGTGTGCCTATTATATCAATTTTGCTCAGGACTTTCTCAAAAAACATCTCTCTTGTCCAAGAGTTTATGCAAGATCAAACATTTGTCACTAATCTCATCAGAGGTATATAAATGATTTGAAAACTAATCAACAAATTTGTAAAAGATTTTCTTAAGCAATGTTCTTGTACTCAAGTTTTGATGCAGACTTCAAACTTCATCACTCTGCTTTGTTGGCATTGGTGATTTGTTCCGACTTTGTACTCAAGAAATCATTTCCATCTGGGGATGATTGTTTAGTGCTGCCTCATGCTATATACTCGTCTCTTTGCATTCCATTCCATGCCCAGTCTTACAACAAAGTCAGCAGCTACACTCCAAAGAACGAGTGGCTACGTCTCAAAATCATGGCAGAGGACTTTTCGTCGTCAGCAAACCTGAGCCTTTTGCTGAGGTGCCATGCCGCTATTGAGCGGTACGGCTCTCTATCAGAAGATTTTTTCAAAGAGGTCCTTACTTTAAACAATAAATCTCCTTAAATGACTTAAAAGAAAATTGCAGGATCTGCAAAACTCACTGCTCACAAAGGAGGAGTTTGACTATCTGATGCAATTTGATCCCAAAACTATGATAGCAAATGCTTTGGAGTCAATCCAGTCAGCGACAACCCACAAGCAGGTGCTCTCTGCTCTTCCCGTCATTATCAGCTATGTCAGGTGCGTGGACCAAGACAACGTCAAGCTCCTTGCCTGGAAGAAAACCTTCAGTCGATTCATAATGCAGCCACCCAGCACTCAAGCTGATTCTGATTTGCTAAATGCCATAGCTCAGATTTTGTCCAGACAAAATGTTGTTCGTTGGATATCAGCCAGAGGTCTTGATTTGATATTGTTGTTTCGAGTTATTTACAAACTTTTCTTTTAGAGCTGTGTTTGAAGTTGGACCATAGACAGGCTTGGTGCATCACAACGTTTGTGCCTCTCATTCAGTCAATGTTGCCAACGATGGATTCAAATGACCTTGTTGGCACAATGAAGTTTCTCTGCAACAGCCTTGTTTACAGTTTTTCAACCAAAGGTGGTGACGGTATGAGCTAATAAGCTTTTTTGTATTCCTTATATTTTTTGATGTAATGCAATTAAGGTTGCCTGAGAATCATTTTGACCTGCTTTCGAGAATTGATGTTCCAACAAAATGTTGAAATCAGCTCACGCCTTCTGGCCGACTTGATCGTGCCATTAGTGGACATTGTCCATTCGTACAATCAGGATTTCACTTTTGTTGGATTGCATCTGATTGAGCTGGCACTTGACTGTCTTACTGCAATACAAATTAACAATCTGGAGGTAAAATTTTTTTGCATTTTTACATTCTTACTACATTGATTGATTTATATTTTCAGAACTTTTTCCACCATTTCTACGCATATAGTGAAAACTGTGATATCCTGAACATAATTGCTCACATTCTCCAAAGTGACAAAAATGAGCTGAAAGCCACCTGTTTTGCACTGTTGACTGGCTTAGCTAAATGTAACGGGCTTAAAAAGTTTTGTTTGGATTTTACAACAATTTTTGAATCAGCCATTAAGTATGTAAAATAAGTTGTTATTAAACAGTTTTGAAATATCTAGTGTATTTTGCAGCATTGCCCAGGACAAGCAAGAAACAAATCTGGTTCGATGTGAAGCAATCGCGCTTATAAATTGTCTGATGAATTCAAAAAATGTAAAGAAATTGATTACAAAATTTTTAGTTTTGAAATAATGCTTTTTATAGGTTGATACCCAAGATGATAAGAAGTTTGACTATTTTTCCCTTTTAAAGTGTGATTGGTTTGGACAGATTAGTTGGCTGCACAAGGGAATCTATTTAGAAGCTGAATTCCACTTCTCAAATCTAAACTTGGTTTCTTCACCAGCACGTAATTTGGCTGAAATTTAAATACGAGGATTAATTATAACTTCCTTTCTTATTTCAGCCAATTCTCCAAATGGTCTATTCAAACAATTAGTTACCCCAGAGCTTCTTGGGAGGCACTATGCTCTCTTGTACAATTTGATTAGTTCACCAGACTGTGATAGTGTTCTCAAAGAGATAGCAGACCATGAGATTTTCCGAAAAGCATTAGGGTAAGTTATTAAGTTATTTACAAATTTGATTAATTTATATATTCAGAGTTCTGTCTAACTGTATTGCTGGAGAGACTGAGCAGTTTTCAACTGAAGTTTATTTGCTAACCAACAACTGTGCAAAGTTTGTCGCTATTTGCTTGATCTCTGACGAAGACCAAAAATATGGATTTGTAACTGCTATTGTGGATTTTCCATATTTACCAGCCCAACTTATAAAAGTCTTACACCACTCTGGTAGGATTTTCACTTCTCTATTTGTTCAAATCACTAAAAACAACTTGTAGACTTTGAGCTTATTGCAAACTCGGTCCTGTGGCTTATCATCGCTCTACTGCAAGGAGGACATTTGGCACTCTTCGAAGATGCCTTTCAGCGGGGTCACTTTTGGCCAGCGTTAAATGTAGGCCTGGAGAATCCTGACTCGGTTGATTCCGCAATGCTTGTAATAAGAGCGCTTACCATTGAAGGAGAAGTTGATTGCAGTTGTCTTGATAATGTAAGAGCAAATCATTTTATTTCAATTATAAGAGATATTTTATTAATTTAAAAATAAATGCAGAACTTAGAGCTTTTGGAAGATCTGTGCCGTAATTTAATGACCCACCTGGTGCAAGATGAAACGCACCAGCATGCGATGGCAGCCCTAGCGGGCCTTATAGTCTCCTGCAGTGCAGCTAAATATTGTGTCTTCAAACTTGGCCTTCTGGAGAGTGTGGTCACTGCTCTAAAGCATTGCATAAACGGGCTTTCTGGTATTTCGGAAAAAAATCGTCTGACAGCCGTCAGCAAAGCAAAAGTAATTTAACAGGTTTTTAGTTGGTTGGAAAAAATAAAGATAAATTATTTCAGATGCACCCACTCATATTGGAGCTAATTGACACATTTGAGTTGCTGACGTCTTTTGTGCTAAATGATACCAAAATGAAAATGTGTGTTGCACAGACAATACTGGTGGACGAGATCAACATCCTCTGGCCAATTTGTGTGATGAACAGTAAGCTCCTGTCAGCAGCAATAAAATTTCTTATCGCTTACACCAAAGATTGTGAAAATGGTACACTTTTTAGTTTTTATTCTGACAAATATTATTTTGATTTTCCTGCTCTAGCCTGTAGCATGTTACTCACGAGGAAGCAACTGCTGACTGACACAGCCATTAAAAACTTTCCTGCAAGTGACACCGTCCTTCATCAGCTTATCAGCGTCATGAGCTCTGAGCTGAAGTCGTTAAAATCTTCAGATTTTGTGCAAAATGTGCTCACAATTCTCTGCCAGTGCAGCATTGCTTCAGATTGCCGTTCTGCAACTATGAAAGTAAAAGATAATTTTATTGTAAAAAGTAAAAGTACTTTATTTTTTATGTATTTGGCAGGCAACAATTTTGTCTCGAGTCTTCTGTGAGACCAATGGAATTACGCAAATGCCCAATGCGATTCAGTTAGGAATTCTTTGCTTACTAGAAAACTTGTCCAGATATCCAGAGGGTCAAATTTTTGTGGCCAGGGTAGGTTGCCAAGATTTTTTAAGTCAATCACAAATTAAAATTTTACTGCAGATCCCAGACGCAGTGGATTTTTTGGCTGCTCACGCTTCGTCCAAAAACAGCTCTGACTTGGCATGCCTTTGTACAGAAATTCTTCGAAATCTGTGTTTCAGCAATGCAAACAGGGTTTTGATTATAAATTCAGGTACTTAATATAAACAAAACCCATTCTTGATTTCAAGTTTTTTTCATGCGTTTTCAGTTGTGATAATGGGCGCTTTTTTATCCGTCCTGGAAAACGGAGATCCACAGAGAGCACACCAAGTGGCCGTCGGCCTTTGGAGTCTGGCCGCCAACAACCACAGGACAAAGCAGTCGCTGAAAGCTGCGGGTTTTCCGCTCGCTCTATGTAAGGCCAAATTAACATGCGCAAAGCACGCCAATATTCTTGCCACGTTAAATTCCGCAATCTGCACGATTGAGGGGTAAAGTTACTCGGAAAAATGTTTTCAACTGGTTATATATCTTTAAAGAAATGATCTCTTTATCATTATGTAAGACAAGAACGAGAAAAAAATATACGAAATAACAACAGACAGATATTTTTATTGTGCGAGAGCGGCATATTATATTATTTTTAGTTGGCGCGCGAGTTAATTTTCGAGTGAAATTCCTGCGGAACAGCACACACAGGTACCAATTTGTTTTTTATATTGGCGGCGGCGGAAAGCAAGCAAGAAAGAAGTGGAAGAACGAGCTGCGAGGCTCCGCCTCCGAGCCGTCACGCTGATGTCTCAATCTTCGCTCAGCATCCATAGTTCTTGATAATTTAAGAGCACCTGCTGTTGACCCCTTCCATGCCTGGCAGAGCTCTTCTAATTGTGCAGGAGTGGTTTGTTCGTTGGTTCGTTTTTCTCTGCCAGAGCTGCCTCTGATCGCCGCTCCTGCCTAACAATCAAAACTGACCTTGATGGGCCGCGCGCAAAAGCTCTCGGTCGCAATTTATCATGCACGCCGCCGAACAATATGTATGTCCGCCGTCGGGGCCAACGGACTTTCGTTTCGCCAAGATCATTTTTTTTTACCATTTGAATTCGAGTTTGGAGAAAATCGTCGGGTTTTTGCCAAATGACTTAATTAAGACGGCGAGGCTGTGTTTTATTTTTCTAAAGAGAGAGAGAGAGAGGAGAACGCAATTTTTCTAATTGCGATCCCAAGGCAAACGCGCGGAGCAGGGTAATTGAGTTAGACGTGTTTGCCCGCAAATTTCTCACGACACACCGCATTTTGAAGAATTTTTATTAGAATAACGAATGGTAGGTCGCTCTGGCGCCTGCCGGCATAGAAAATAAAAAACCTAATTACTCAGCGTGGCTTTCAAGTTTACAACCCAAGATATAAAAAAAGCTTTATTTGCGTAATTTACTACCAAAAATTTATTTATCAAATTAGTTTTCCATTTTCAAAAACCATTTCTGGGAAAAAAAGTACATACTTTTGTCAAATTTTTATTATTGTTATTATTTTGCATTAGCAGAACTGAAGAATGTAGTAAAGACAGTAAATTAAAATAAAATCGGTTAGAAGACTTTTGTGAATTATAACAGTCAAGTTTAAGTATTTCGGTTTTATTTTAATTGTATTATTTTTACAGATTTCAAAATCAACAAGAAACTCAAAAAGTGCAAGAATCCATGCCTTGAGTCGATAAAATTTAATTGAATAGAACTTTTACGTTTCCTTTATTTAGTTTATTTATGGGCTGAAGATTTTAAAATGTTTCAGTTCTTTTCATAAATTCTTGGCCCTGCTTTTGGTCTCTCTATTAACATTTTCTTTGCCATTATGCGTGTTGTCCATCGATGGATCGCAATTCATTTGAAGCAGAGAAAAAACAAGATCTGGGCGAGTTGCTGCTCTGTGGCGAGCTGGAGCCACATCCATCACGTCAACCGCGCCAAAATGGATAATTCCGTTTCGAAATGCTAATTTTCGCCGCGATTTAATAGAGACGTGGAGCGAGAGTGAGGGCGCGACTTCAAAGACACCGCCACCGACTTGGCAGCAGCAAAACGTTTTCACCGCAAGCCGTGGTCATCAAGCGGCCTATTGTGGTGTCGCTTTTTCGCGCGTGCAAATTTTATTCAGCAGTCTGGCGCAGAGCGGCGGTTTCGGATTCCCCCTCGAAATGAATTAATACAAACGAAACAGCACAAGTACATCATCGCGACGAGACGTGAATTGTTGCGCGCCCGTTTATTTTTATTTCGCGCACGGTGTTTTGTCATCGCGCCATCGCCGCCACGGGATTATTTAATGAGGCGGCTGTTGACAGCGCGCATCGCTCACTACTGCTCCTACACATATTTAATGCATTTTTTACTGAAACGTTCAAGTAAACAATAATAGCTCCCTGAAAAAAAAATGAAACAAAAATTATTATTTTTTTTTTTCGAAGAAGTCAGCGTCAGGATTTCTTTTCTTTTTTGGTGATCTTCTTTATCTTAACCAGCAGTCTATTCAAAGAGGCTACGCTCAATTATTGCATGATGTAATTAATTTTAAACTAATTCAGATTAAGTTATAACTCAGATTTTGGCTTTCTATAAGAAAACATTTTCTTGATTATTTTGTTTTTCGGAAAAAGCTAATTTCGATCAGAAAAATCCAATTTTATTAAAATCAGATGCTATCGCGATCATCGCTGAAGCTGCAATCTGCGATTGCGACCTCAAAATGTTGCGATCTGTTTGGATCATATTTTATTTTTTGAAAAAACATATTTTGGAACGGTTTTTTATTAATTCTGGTTTCGGAACGAGGCCAGACCTGACAATAATGTACTAAGTAAATGAAGTCAAGAAAATTTATCCATAAAATGAGCATTGGCAGTTTTTCTCTCAGATTTAGATTTTCCCAAATTAATATTAAAATTTTCCACGATCGCCAAAAAGATCGCAAATGATCGCATGCGATTGACTTCCTTTTGGAATCGCGATCATCTTTTCGAAAAAAAAAATTCCAATTTAATCCATATTGATATTAATTTTCAACTAATGATATTTTGAAAATTTCAAATATACTTTTGGACAGGAAATTTGAATGAATGGTTCTGACCAATCAAAACCCGCAACACCTTTTCGGCCGCAACGACACTTATTCGTCTCGCCACAAAACCACAGAATAAGAGATTCCGGCTCCTTCCTTCATGGTCCGCATCACACAAGAATTCATTTGAAACAGAGCCTTACTAATTTGGGCTTCCGTCGCCAGGTCTAACATTCTTTTTCAAATAAAAAAAATAGAAATAAAACCTTTTTACATTCATCACACCTGCGCGGATTTTCCAAAATATCGATGCGAACCTCGATGAATGTGTATCCCGCTGAAAATCTGCGTTTGAAAAACGTTCGTTCCGCCAAAGGCAATATAAAGTATACATTAAGAGTGTATAATCTTTTGTCCGGCGCGCACCAAGACATCAAGGTTTGCGGTTGTTTGCGCTCTCGCTATGCTTTGGCACACTGGAAACAAAATAATCCAAGACCGGAGGCAAAAAGTGGGGAGGGCTCCATAATAATCAGCCACAGCTCGGCTTCGTTGATTACTTCATTAACTCTCGCTGTGCGTTTTTTCGTTCCTCCATCGTGCAGCGCGGCTCGATCGAAAACTCAGTCACGATTCTTTCTTTCTTCGTCTGACACACAAAAAACAACAACCGCTTTGCAGCATTATTTCTCTACTGGTCAGACAAGTCTGTTAATATTTGGTGTTTACTTTTGAAGAAGAATTAAGCGATGGCAATTTTAGTGCTTTTTTGCTTTATCCATGCTCGGAGCCGAAACTTGTATTTCATCTTATAAAGCTTTTATGCAAATTGACTCTTTTTTCGCGGTGGCTCATTTTTATTGCCGGCGAGTAATTCACTAAATGTGGCACTTAAAAAACGAGCGCGCGTTAAGTCCTCTCTCTCCCTAAATGTTTTGCCTTTTAAGAGCAGGCAAATAAATTGTTGCGACCGGCCATTACGCCAATCTATCGCTGCACTTCATTCACGTATACAAATTTAATTGCCGCGCTGTCCAACAGCAATAAACTGGAGCACTTAAGCTAAGTGAGATTGAATCGCGCATCGAGTTGTTTCAATCTTTTGCCAATTCAACAAAGTTACTCATTTTTTTACTCACAATCAAATTAATATGGATTTTCACAGGTCTTTACCGAGTTTAAAAAAACAATAAATTTAAAACAGGTCAAAAATCATAGGCAAAATTAAAGTCAAAATTTTGGTGTTGATTTATGTTTATACAAACACAAAGATACACGCAAGTTCCTTTTTTCATAATTCTTGGCAAATCGTTTTAATAATGAACCATAATTATTAAATAAAATATATTTTTAACTCTTTAAAAACCATCTGGTTTTATTTTATTTCTTAAAAAAATATCAAACTGATGTAAAAATTAAAATAAAACCACACAATGATATAAAATTATCTTGATCATGGGTCAAATTAATTTAATATTATGTTCATTGACGTTTCCGCTGGAAAACATCGTAAATAAAGGTGATTTATAATAAATTGCACTGATGACATGATCAGATAATTCAACTTATGCAAATGATGTGTATGATACTTCCGCTATAAATTAAAATACTAACGACGAAATAAAATATAACAATTGATACAAAAGTTTTTTTTTTTTAAAAAAAGGGTTAATATAGTTAAAACTGTCAAGTGGGAAATTCCGGAGCTTTTTAAAATTGCACCTCCAACCTATAAAGCTAGAGGATGGAAGAGAGAAATAAACTCCCCGAATAATATCTTAATAAATAAAAGTGGCGTTCTCCTGCGTTTGTGTGTGGTAAAGTAAGAGGCTTATTTTTGGAGTTATACCTCTCAAACCAAAATGAATATACCACCGCTCTCAGTATTTTTTTTTATTCAAGTCGCTCCCCCGCACGAGACGAATATAATAATATAAAAAGGAGGCAGAGAGAGAGACCGAAGAGTAATATTTCTCAACTCGGTCGGTATCAATCGAGGACCACGCCCGGCCGGTTGAGAGAAAGACCTTGTATATTTATGCTGAAAAGCGTTTTAAAAAAGCTGCATTGCATTTGCTGAAAGAGTCCGCGTGGCAGCACTTCGTGTGTCATTGTTGTTTTTATTTTCTGCGCCTTCCGTCGCGAGAGACCGCCGGGCCATCAGACCTTTCGAGAGAGCTGCTGATAATATAATTTATTTCACTCTACTCTCACGCATGAAAGAATTTTTGTCGACGCCCCAAACATTAAAATTCAGTCCCCGGATTGTGAAAATAAAGCTCTCAATCGGTTTTATTGAGAAGAGGGAAAAGAATGGTGTTTTTTTTTTTTAGTGCAGGGGTTCAGTGAAACAATCGAATTTTTGATTTGGAAATTATAATACTTAAAAAACGTGGATATGAAGATGTCGGGCTTATTTTCTCATTGCCCAACATCTTCATTTCCATGATCATCTCCTCGAGTGTCAACTTTTTCGAACAAATCCTTTTAAAAACCATTATATTATTTATAAATTGTAGAAAAATAAACACCAATAATAAGTAATTAATTCTCAAAAGTGTTTGTAGTGACTTTTTTTGTGTTGCCTAATAAGGTGAATTTGTCAACATTTACATTTTGTATTGCCCAAACTTATGAATAAATAATATAGTTTGCAAATTGTGTTGATTGATCTATCAGAAAGGCAATTGCTGCCCATAACGGGATACATCATTAAATTTATTCATTCAAAATTATGCAAATAATGTTTATAATTTTAATCAAAATTCTCGTGATGAAATAAAAAGTTCCAGTTTTTGCCGGTTTCAAAATTTTAATTAACGATTTTTTTTTTATTTCACGTAAGATTTTAGATTACTTTATGGTTTGCAAGGTTATATTGGACTTAATTTTTCGTTCATAAATGCAGAGGTATAATTTCAGCGAGATGTATTGAGGTCGCAGGTTGGGCTAATTTACGGCCGCTTCCTCTCTCATGTGTGCGGAAAGATCTGCTCGGAATGGATTTTGCATTCAAACTACAAACTACACAATAAAAACCCACATAGCTACTCTCGGCTCTGAATATAAAAACCGAAATCCCGGCTGCCCGATATACATATTCATACCGGCCGACTTATTTTTTATAATGATAATACATATCAAGCAGGAGTGGCCCGCGGCTGATTTATTACGGAGCGCCACTGTGGTCCTCAAAGCTTTCTCGCTCGCTCACCACATCAATCACATTCATTTCTTTTATACTCTCCCTGCAATGCCAGATTTTATTTAATTTTTTTTATGATTGATTTGTCATTTGAATCGCGCCCGACCTTCTTGCATGCTGTGTATTTCTGCAGTGCGTGACTTCTCTAAGAAAGCCGTTTTGGAGCCAAAAGTTTGTGGCTTCAAAACAAACGTGCGCTTGCATTAAAAACATTTGGACTGAGCCCAAATGAGCTCGTCAAGAGGGACCACCCCAGAAGCTCTCCATTTCAAAATTAATGCTTTTTTTCACATTTTTACGTTTTATTTTAAAAACAAGACTACTGATCCATTTTTTCAACAGTTGAGAAGGCAAAAAAATCCGGAGTGAAATTTTTTATTATTTTGATCTTCACCTAGAAATTAAATTTTTGAAGAAATAGTTGATCTGGATTGCAGATCAACCATTTCTTCAAATTTCCAGATTCTGAGAATCTGGAATTCTTAAGTTACGCTTTTTTTTTACTTGAGACTGATTTAATAAGGGCAATTTTTTTATTTTCTACATGAAAAGAAAAATGTCATTTAAAAAAAAAAATAATTTATTTACTTTTGAGTATAACCAATGTACTTCTATTTTTAGCTTGTAGAGCACCGGATAGGAATTTCGGTATTTGGTATTTTACGCCTGCAGGTCAAATCGCAGCTCAAGCGGGATTAAATGATGGGAATTCCTTTCGCTTTTTTACTTTTGTATATTTGTACCCTCTTGAGAGTGAAGAAACAAACCCTTTCTTTGTTCTTTTGTCATGATCCGTGTCCGGAGTTCCCGTCCTAAAATCCACCCTATGCGGATTTGAAAAGAGCCATAGGACGACAATGACCCCAGTTGGCGCGGGCGAAATGTATATAAATGAAAAAAGGGGGCACACGCGGATAAAAAGTCGAGGAACAACGGTCGCGAATGGGAGGGGATAAAGGTGATAGTGAGTAAGACGTTTTCATAGTCGTCACGTGACTCTCTCTTTTCTTATTCTCTTTCATACCACACACGAAGAACGAACGAGCCTTAGTTAGTTTTTCGTTGTATATATATTATTAAATGCGAGCGCCGGCCGGGCCGCGAGTGAGTTGAGTGAGTGAGTGTGCGGGGCCTGTTACATTATTTTATACATAGTACAACAAGATAATGTTGTCCTGCACACATATACACATGATACGCAAAGACCTTTTATTTCTACGTACATCGGATTGTCTTTCTGCGCGCGCGAATTTGATCTCTTCGATTCTTCTCACTTTTCCGTATTTGCCGCGCGTTGGACGAGAAAGCACTGCGACTCAACTTGCCAAGGACTGATTCTTATCTTCTGACTTTTGGTTTTGCAAAAGTCACAGTCCTTTATAATAGGTTGCATTAAGTTTTCGTTAAAATGAATTAATTATTAATTTAATTTTTGTTCCGCACAAAATATGAAAACGGAGAATTCTGTAGGGTAAAGTGACTGAATTTTAAAAAATGCAAAAGACAAAATAAAGGTTGCATAGTAAGAAATAAAAAACATTATCAATTGAAAGCAAAAAGAGGAAAAATTGAAAATATTAAGCGTCTCTCTGAATAGAGGTTAAATTATTGCCAAATGTCAGAGTTCATGATTATAGTGATCAACATTAAAATTTGATTCAAAGTTCAAACTAATTTTAAATCTGCCTCGTCCGCTTTTTAACGAGATTTGTGTTCACTGTTATCAAAAAACATGTTTACCTAATGATTTCTTTTTCAATACGGGCAGAATTTTGAGCCCAGAAATGGAACCGGATTGATAATCTAAAATGCGCAGCCCTGATTTTCTTCATTTGTTCTTTCTTTAACCTTTATTGACAGCATATGAATTTTACACGCGGATTTGAGAACATTTTCAGTTTTATGCAATCTATTGACAGGAATGTTGTGCAGGTTGCATTCTTTTAAATTGGGGGCGCTCCCGCACCAAAGCGCTGTGCATCAAATTAAATGGATTATAATTTATAATTATACCAGAAATAAAAATTCTCTTTTATTTTATTTCATATTGCTTTCGACCAAAAAGTTTTGCAGCGGGAAATAATTAGAAACGCCTTTTTCGTGAAATCGAATGCATGAAAATAATGAAATAAAAAATAATTTCCTAGAATGGAGCACGAAATTTTGAGCATCCTTTATAAAAAGCCCTAATCTTCACCAAATCTTCTTTTTGCCATCAGCAGTGTGTGTGTGTGTAATGGCCCATAAGGAGGCACCGCGCGTCCTTGCAAGCAAAACCTCTCATTCAGAAAGGCTTGGGAGAAATTGCAACAGGATTAAAGGGTGTTCCACATTCGGGCCGAAGACGCACGCGGGGCTCTTTCTTTCCTTGGAGAAGTATCTCTGGGCGGTCGGTCAGTCGTACTACTCAGGCAGATTTCTCTGCAGAGAGCGACTTGGCCTCTGCGCCGCGCGGCCGAGAGGAGACCACCCAAGAAGCAGCTCAAATCTGGCCTCGCTCGTGTACCACAGCCTTCCTTTCTTCCTCTTCTCCGGAGGAGTCAGCGAGCTCTCGATTCTGTTGTTGTTGTGATTACGTCTGTTTGGTTGCTTTTTGCGTCAGGAAATGACGTCGCCAGCAGCGCGGTTGACCATCAACAATCAGGAGAAAAGAAGGATTTGACCTCTGCCGACCTTTGGTTCTAGGAAACGAATGGATTAAGCGAAAGGTCGCGCGGGAATAGCGGTGAAAGCACATATTGTTCACTAATTATGCTAATTCCGCGAAAGGGTCAAACAATTAAAACAATCTGTTTCCAAATTAATCGTTGATCGCTCCACTTTATTCGAGACTCACTTGAGAAAAGTATAAAAATATTTCGTGCATTTTAGCACCTCGGAATATTTACAGATTTCGAAAATTAACGCGTATACAACTATAAACTCAGCTCACATTTCTATTACATATTTTCTTCCAAATAATTTTCACATACAAATCGTGGCACCTTTTGAATTCCTCTCAGTTCAGCGCCAGAAAACGTTTTCCAAACTAGATCACATATATTTTTTTTTCTCTAATTCCGCGTATATAATAATAATTATTATTATCATTTTCAAAAATTAAGAAATACATTTTGAGTATTGAGTTTCAGGTCTGGCTTAAATTAAGGGAAACAGAATTAATTTCTCGTAATTTCTCCTGGTTGTTGAGCAAGAGAATTCAATCCGAATACAGACAAAAATTAAACTCTACTTTGTACTAAAGACTTCATGTTGGCTTTTTCCATTAATTGGATACAATTCACACGCACTCAAATAAATTAAACTCACGCAGAAACGATTTTCTCAACAGCACACGCACTGCAGTTTTTTTTTTAATTTTAATTTTCTAAACAAAAACAACATTGAACAAATCGATAAAATAAAACTAATATATATTTCATAATTTGGTTATAATAATTACTCTCGTTGTGCGCGCGCAAAATAAAATGGAATCTTCAATTGCTACAACTTATTAAAATTAAACTCATATAAATGATAGATATCACAATCACACGATAAAAGGACACGTGGCTGATTTCATGTCGACGATCGATTTAAAAAAGATCGGGTCCTGAGTATTGATGACAGGGAGAGGAAAGGGCACAACCTTAATTTCAGGTTGTGTTTTGCTGGCACTGCTGCTTCCAGGGGCAAGAAGGGGCTTCACTTTTGGGGCGAGGTAGGTTGGGAAGTTCTAAGCACAGCACCATCTGAAACAAAAAGCAAAGAGCACATTGAAAAATTATAAATAATTAAAATATCACAATAATAATTAATTAAAATATATAAAATAGATTTAAAAATGACTTTTTGATATCAAATTGAATAATTTTTTCAATTTTGATCTATGATTTTGGAACGACCAGCCAGCGCCTAGCCGGTCCAATGGACTCTCAATTTTTATGACAGCATTTCTTCGCGCGTTTCATGGCCGGTCGATTCGCGAATTTGAGCCGACGATAAATCATTTCGCACTGCGCCGGACGCGATCGAAAAAGCTCCAAAGAGCACGTGCTCTTTGGCTCCTCGATTCGCTGCATCTGCTTATCAAAAGCGACATATGAATAACAAATTGCCATATGTGATGAGCCAATTGACAAGCACGGCCAGCTGACCAGAGGTCAATCTGTCAATGGAGGAAAAAATTCAGAGAATAAATCTACAAGGCGCTTGATTCTTTATTCGTGACGCACGCCAAAAATAACGCGTGTGTTTGGCGCTCTGATAAATGACCAGATTATGCGCATGTTTTTGCTGGCAATAAGACAAATGCCGGTTTCGAGCATAAAATAGCGGCGAGAGATGCTATCGCAGAATTTGAATTAGAATTAAACAAAATATGGGCGCATGCTGAGAATGGGAAATTCCGCTAAGACAAAAAAAAAACAATAAAACTGCGCATAAAATGTTCATTAAACATTTTTTTAATCATAGAATAAGTAACATGCACCAAAACTAAATTGAAAAACAGTCCAAAAATTATAGTTTAAAAGGACTTTTAATTGAAATAATAAGTCATAAAAGTTACGTGTAGAGCAAAATTTGGGTTGGAGGATCAAAGGGGGGTTTCATCTATCATAAATATTAATATGCGGATATGAGAAAATACGTTTTAATTTAACCCTGCCATGATTACAAATAATGTGCTTTTCATAAATAATAATTTTTTACAGACGATTAACTAAATCTTCCCGTAAGAATACTTTTCTAAAGGAACAATACAAAAGCTTAAATAATTATAGCATTTTGTTTTGCGCATCTCGCATTTACGTTCTTACGTTGATGTAATCCAATTACCAGAAGACATCAAAATGAAATTACACAAGCTATATGCACAATTTTCTTGCATGATATGAGAGTTTATTCCAGATAAGCTTTCCATCAAAAGGGTTCTGATTATGTAAGACCAAATCGACACATCTTTTCTTATTCCAGAATCAGAGCACAGCTGAGAGTGACTTTTATTTAAATTTCATATTGTCACTCATATATAATAATAAGAGCGAATGGTATGTTTGAAAAATGTATGAAACCACCCGCAAGATCGGTTCTTTTCTGATCGAGAAATAAAAAATTTTACTGCCAAGCTTCATGTGCGTGCCCGGGATGAACTTATAAGCAGTTTGACAGCGCCGAGATATACGAGACGACGTGATTTCTTTTCCACTCTGATCATCCACTCGCTCCATTCCGTCGCATGCACGTGATGCAACGACCGAATTCGCTTTTTGTGCCGAGAACGCTAATAATATGTCCACAATAGGAAAGCAGCATCCCAGGTGTTGGGAATACAAATGTCTTGCGTGGGACTTTTATTGCGGCGGAGAGAAAGAAAAAAAATACGAGAGCCGCACGCAGCATCATTATTTTGCTCTGCGAGAGCTGAAAGACCATTTCCACCTTTGAAAAACGGAAGGAAAATATTGAACTCGTCTCGGAGGTAAACAAAGATTAAATTGAAGAAGGGAGGCAGATGTTTTCATAACAAAAATTGCACTCGGGTTTTTGAACATCAAAATCATACTCGTAACACCATTTTCAGAAAAAAAACCCTGAAGAAAATCAGAACAATGCGGAGTTAAATTTGAAATTGTCATCACTAAAATATTTCCGATATTTTTCTTCAATTGAATAAGAAATGCAAAAGTCAGTTTTATTTGCTTTCTAATGCATTTTGGCTGCTTTTTTATGGGTCCGTAAGATGTTACAATGATGGGCTTGCAGCTGACAAGGAATGAATAGGGACTTGAGGAGCAGCAGCCTCACTACTTTTGAGAGAAGACGAGCGCGGCGTTGTCGGCTCTCTCTCGGCACAGCACCTGCGGGTCGCTCGCCCGTTCCCTGCCCGTCCTCCCTGCGCTGCAGGTTCTCTCTCGACGATGTATTTATTAAAAAGCAACTGGTTTGCCGTACGGACAAAATAATGACTTGATCTCGGGCAAAATAGGCTGGTCGCTCTTGTTGATAGACTCGTACTTCATTAGCCGCAACAAGCCAGCTACAATTTAAGTCTCTAGGGATTAAAACGGTGACAACAACACACAATGACCGGTTCGGCCTGTCGGCGCCAGGGCAAAAAATAATAATAAAATAAACTGCCTTAAAAAGCTAAATATGCTAAAAATTTCATATTAACAATAATTGTATTGAATTCTATACTTTAAAAATAAAATTGAAACCGGGCTTTTCATGAATTCTAAATTGAATTAAAAAAATAAGTTTGCCCTGAAAGTTTGGTGAAAGTTTTATTTGAAATTTGTAAAATTATAAATCACATTTTTCTTGACACGGAGATGGTTACAGACCTGTCATTCAGGACTATTATGTATTGTGTACAAATTTGACAGCAATCGTCTCTCCGCCTTGGTCAAATAAATGCTCAAGTTCTTTCAGGAAAATATGAGGGGGTCAATATTGACCGAGTGCCACTTGAGTTTTGAATGCTGATGCCAGAGCAAACACAGCCACGTGCGCCTCTCTCGCGGTGTGAAGAATAGCGCGGGTCACGTGCTTTTTGCTCTTTGTTCTTTTCGGTCACTCAACAAGCCTGGTGCGATTCATTTGAGCCGGGGACATTTTGAAACATGGCCAACACTTGCCACTTTGGACTTTGGCACAATAACATTTGCGTTTTGCATAGGAATTTTGAAAATAATAAAAAAAAATCGCGAATTGTTTAGACAAGAATTTAAGGAAAACCGTGTTTTTTAAAGTTAAGTTTTGATCAGAAATGTCCATGATGAATACGCCTTAGAGCCTTTGAATTAAATTAAAAAGTAGTTTCGCTTAATTAGCTTTTCAATTATTTTTAGTAATATATTAAATTTTCTATACGGCTTTTTCTAACTTTCTTGTTAATTTTTTTGTAAAAGCCGCAAGATGCAATTAAATATTTTAGCACTGTAAACCGCACACTAACAGTTTTCCAATTTTGATAACAAGTTTATTTTAAAATTGATAAGATTTAATGTGTTTTGCATAAAAATGCCAATGCCGCGTTAAGTTAAATTTGAAAAAATAGTCAAATATTTTGGATAAACTATTACAAATCAAGAGTCTCAAGCCATCATCCTGATATGCAATTTTTCTAAAATGACTCAAAATAAATGAAAAATGGAGAATTTTGACTCACCTCACCAGGATCATGTGTCCTGGGCGAGCAAAGATCTGGACAGGAGGCGGGCGAGCAGCACTGCCGCCGTGAGGAGCGTCCAGCAGGGTGGGACGTTGGGGGTTGCAGCCGAGAAGACCTCGTTGGTGTCCAGACTGGGCGGCGGGAGGGGCGTGGAGGGGAGTTTGTGGAGACACAGTCGGGACATGTTGTCGCGCATTCTTTGGCAGTCGTAGTTCTCGCGGCCGTCGCAGCGGCAGGTGGCCAACTTGGCCGCCTTTTCCTGCCGCAGCAGGATGGACAGCGAGTTGTTGCACCGGTGGTTGCACTTCTTGCCCTGGAACATGGCCTTGCACAGCCGGTGGTAGAATTCGAGCGCCGTCGAGCACAGCGGGTCCGCCGCGCAGATCCACTCGGCCACGATGCACGCCACGTCCGCGCCGTCCCGCGTCGCCTCCTCCACCTGCGGACGGCAAACCTCCACCCGCCGCTTCTGCTCTTCGCAACTTTCATCCGTGCAACGACACTGAAAACATGACCATTTATGCACAAATTAGAATCAAAGAATATTTTTAGATTGTAGTTGATGGTAGTGTTGATAAATTGTTGAGATGGACTCATATAAAATTATGCCTCGCTAGTGACACTTATAAGAAAATTTAAAAAAAAAAACAATCATTTATAAGATTAATATTTTGAATCCAGACAATGAATTTATTTCCTCTAATTATTTTTTTTTTTAAATTTTGGTTCAATTTACAAAAGTATATTATGCTGATAATAAAAATTGACTCACAAACAGAACTTGCAAAATATAAGCACAGATATCAAATCCACAACTTTAACTGCACCAAAACCATCCATGAATTTCAGTAACAATTCCAGGCTTAATTTTTTTTGGAGCATAAATTTAGGGACCGTTTTTGTTTCTATTAATGCTGATGTGTTTTTTTAAACCACATTATTTTCAATGTACTTTCAATATTGCAATTTATGAAATGGTCTGAATGTTTATTTCAGTTCTGAAGTTGAAAGTGAAATTGTTAAAAGCTTCATTTTTTTAAATGCTTTGTCCGTAGAAATACTAGAAATTGTAAATATAAAATTTCATTTAAATTTTTCTTGCTAATTATTTATTATTTATTAGAAAAATAATTTATATATTTTAAAATGACTTGCTTTGTATGCTTTTGAACGTGTAAGCTAAAATTGCTGTTCTTTTTCAACAATATTAATCCAGGACAAAAAAGTAGCTCACATATTTTTGTGCGCAATTTCCACTCAGGTCGCGCGAAATTTGAGATAGGCGTATTAGGCAAGGTGGCACGCGAGACGAGTGTTGGCTGCGAAGAAAGGGTTTAGTCGATGGTGCGAGAGACGCGATCAAAAACGACACTGTGCTCCTTTGCCGAGATGGCTTATCGCGAGAGAGACGAGCGAGCGAAATTCGCGCAACATTAAATGGTTTAATTTCGCACCACTGATCAAAAAGCAGCTTCGAAGGGAGAGATAAATCGGCCCGACGGCGTCTCTTTTTTTTATATACTTTTTTTATTTCTATGAGAAGGCTTGTCGTCGCCGCGTGGAGATGTTTCTAATTCTCTTCTCGGGGGACGTGGCGGCGCCTAAAAATAGTTTGGTCGCCGCGCCGAATAACCAGAGAGGCTGCACAACTCAAATTACTCCTCTTATTCAACTCATTGTCCCGGCTGGAATTCTGTCTGCGTCTCCACGCGAAACAATGGACGCGCGCGTAATCTAATCACACATTTTCAATTGTTTTGTTTTTTCTTCCCTGCGACTGTCGGAGAGGAATTATAATTAAAAGTAAAAGCCGTGTTTGTTGATTGTGCTCGCGCGCGCGTCTGCGGGAATAATTTATTTTGTTATTGAGGAGGTGTGTCCGCCGCACTCTTCTCATGCATGTTTATTAAATTTTTATCTCATTATTTATTAGAGAGAGAAAGATGCGACAGGCCGACGGCGAGAGGAGGGTTTTCTATAATTGCGTCTCTCGCCCGCGCGCCAACGCTACAGGAAATTGCTAATTATAAAGATGTGCTGGCGACGATGTGAGCAGAATGGCATTTCGCCACTTGAACGCACAGATTAATGAAAGCCAACAACACGCATCTTTGAAAAAAAAACTGTTTTAAATTTACAAGAAAAAAAAAACTAGAAAAAAATGTACTGATTTTGTCAAACAATTATTTTTTCTTCATTAATTGAGGAATTGATTGCAAGTTTAGTAAATTTATTAATAATTTTAAACTAACAACTTTAATTGTGGTGTTTATTCTATTATTTTACCCTCCAATTATAAAAAAATGAAAGATTTAAGCAACAACAACAATTAAACAATGTTCTATGTACAATTTGGACAAATTAAAGCTCCATTAGCTACACTTCTTAATGTACATATTACGCTGATTTAATAAAGAATCTTATTGGTTTAATTTAGCAAAAAATAAACTATTTTTAGAGTCTGATTTTTTTAATTAAAACATATTATACGTTGAAGATCCCGGCAAATCCTATTGGACAAAAAAAGGGCACCACCACTAGCAAGAATTTTGCTAAAACTTCCGAGATTATTAAACTTCAACTTCAATGAAATATCGTTTTTGCGTGCCACGGGTACAGGTACAAAATAATATAATTAATTAATGTCATACTTAATTTAATTTGTAGTTTATTAAAGTTAGTTTATTTAAGGCCTCCTTATTGACACAGTCAAATCAAGTCTTTTCAACAATAGGAAATATTTTGTCAATAATTGGAAAATTTAACAATCATTGCTGTAAAGACTTGATTTGACGATATACGTCAATAAGGAGTCCTTAAATTTATTGATATAACATGTTTATATGTTTAAAATAACTTTATTTATTATACGTATATATTAAATGCACAGTATATTATTTGTACAATAATTTCTGTACTTCTCTGTACTAAATATTTTTAATGAACAAGAAAAATGAATGAATTTTGCAATATCTTTATTTTGTGTTTATCACTCTTCAAACAGAAACATTTATTTATCAACCTTCAAGTTCGGACTATGCAAGTGGATTTCAAAAAGAAACAAAGGTCAGCGTACAAGTATGTTGTTGTGAGATGCGCAAGTTGGAAATTTGCTGTGGGTACTTTGGTACACGTGTAACTCAACACCGTGGCGAGCAGAAAGCTCTTGGAGCAGAAAAATCACTCTCCGCTCTAATCCTTCGGCACAGATGCATGTGGAATAAACGCGTGAGTGGATTGGGTTTCACTTCTGGCTCGGTCCAGAGAGAAAGACCAGGAGCCTCAAAGGACAAAGAAAGACGAGGGCCAAAATCGCAGCAGCGCGAATCGAATGGCGCGAATTTGCTTAGGCTGCTGGGGGCGACCCCACAACAAAGGAGTTCTTTTTTAAATAATTATTTAGTTTTGAATCCCACAGCATTTGGTCAAATTAACAAAAGCTTTTGGGGGAATGAAATGACAAAGAAAGAAAAGGGTTCCTATTTGCGTTTTTTGTTCTCATTGCAGCCGGTGCTGCTTGCAGAGGCAGGTGTGTCTTGTCTCGATTTCTTTCACATTTGTATGTGGCTCGCAAATATAAATAAAAAGAGCAGAGGAGCACAACTTACTTAAAAGCGAATTTGCATTGAAAGCCACGCGAATTTATTTCTCTCTTCCGCTGGAATGATCACAGCCATGGGCACATGCAAGGAAGATCTCTTTACAACATTTATAGTCTATTCTATTTTCAAGAAAATTTACCCTATTTTACTATAAATTTTCAAGAACAAAATGTTATTAATAATTTAATTTAGACGTCTGCATTAGTTTTTTACAACTCGCGCATGATTCTCTGTGGATGGGAGGACGTCGAAAGAAGTTGTGCATGTGCCCGAATAATCAAAGTTTGGCATCAATTCGCGAGCGAACGTTAAAAGCATTCCCGACCGGAGGCCATACACTTATTTTTATATGACGATATTTGAGGGCTCATAACCAAAAAGTGGCTGCCATTCCCGGTATAACGTCAATTAAGCAGTTTGCGTAAAAAAGGCAGCTCGCAAGCACACGCAAGCCCATAGCAGAGTCAATTCGCTGCCAAAATGCAAAACCATTGAACCAATATTATTTGTTCTCGAAAGATGGATCTCATGATGGAAAGCCCGGCAGAATCGCGCTAATAATTGATTCGTGCGTGCGTATTAATTATTTTCTTTTTTCAGCTCGACGTCATTGTAAAAGATAAAATTCGCTTCCGCGAGAGAGAGGTGCAATAAAAACACTCTCTACAGTGCCGTGGAACAGCAGTAATTATACACATGAGGGATTTCGAATTCGTTTTTAATTATTGTTACTCGGAAAATTGCTGTAATTTGGTCAATTAGATTAAAAGCAAACAATTAAAAAAGATCCCTTGAAGCAATTACTTATTATGCTTAAATAATTATATTGGGGAACATAGTTTGGTATCCTAAAAATTTCAAGGAAACATTAAGAAAAAAAAATTTTCATTCATTAGGATAATTGAATTTTTGAAAATTAACATTGTTTCTTACTGTGGATTTTCATTTTCTGAAATTATTTGCACTTTTTAAAATTATCCCTATTAAAATTGATAAAATTTCACCAAATCACGTCCATATCACCCCAATCAACCTCAATTCAGTTAGCAAAATTCATTTAAGTATATAAATAAATGTTTCACTAAATTTCTTCAGATATTGTAAACATTACACAATCCTAATTACAATTTAAACTTTGTTTGTCTTTTCAAAGTAAGAAAATAGCATTTCTTGAAACTTACATTCATGAGGTTTTTGCCCTCCTCAGTGGAGGTGAGGGCGATGAGTGCATGTTGGCAGGGCTCGGGACAGTAGTTGAGCACCGCGGGGCCGCTGTCCAGCATGAACGAGCAGCCCATCATGTAGTTCTGCAGCGCCTGGCCGCAGCCCGAGCGGTACGCGCACTTGAGCCGCGCGTTTTCGCACGAGTCGCGCGACAACGGCGTCCGCTGCAGCAGCGTCGCGTTGTGCAGCGACGAGCGCTCCTCGGGACGCAGCTCGCCGGACGCCACCTGCAGCACCACGCTCGCCACCAGACCGGCCAACCACGTCGGCCACATCTGCAACACACACCAAGATTTTATTAAAACATAATAATTCTTACTAATTGTAAAAGTAAGATGTAATTCTTGGGATATACGAAAATTTAAATACAAAAGTAAGTATATCTTATATAATTATTTAAACAAGTTTTCGCAAGTTTTTAAATGTAACACCCTCTCATAATAGCTGAGATGCCCTCTCTACATAGCTTATAAGATCCATTTCCACAAGTGGAATTCTCTAGATTACATTTCAATCTCTTAAATGACATAGCAAATAATAAGACCCCTTCACAGGAAATTGTAAAATACTCAAATTGAAGGTTGACAAATTCCAAGGTTGTTTGAATCAAGAATCAAGTTTCAATTATTTTTGCATTTTTCTTTTAAATTCATTTCATATGTTTCTTACTTTTGAGAATTTCGCGCGGATCTTTTTCAAATAAATTATTTGAAATTTGCAAATGAAGAGATCGGGCTTTTTCCTCGTTGCAGAAACTGGTAGAACCATTTTTTTTTTCTTAATGAAGGTGAAAAAACAATTTTCTGCAGCGAGGAAAAGCCCGATCTCTTCATTTCCATGATCATCTCCTTGAGTGTCAACGTTTTCAAAAAAATATTTGAAATTTAATTAAAATGTATCCACTTAAAGGAAAGGTGAATTTTCATATTTAAAAGAAAAAATTATATGTAATTTATCTAAAATCGTTAAAAAAATTTTCTTGTAAAAAAGCATAGCAAATTATTTATTGTTTTATCTTCTCCCCTTTTAAATTACCAAATTTTATGTATGTTTTGTTGAATTATTGTGTATTTGGGCAGAGAATACTGAAGTTTCTATTATAAATTTATTGTAGAATATAAGTGTGCTCATAAAAACGTTATTGGAAATATTTGTGGATAAGATCCTGCAACAACGACATAAAAACTTTCTGTACGCCATGAAAACCTTTTTAGACCTTAATTTAAAAAGTAAATTTAAAATTTTGGTTCAAAAAGAACATTTTTTTAAATACTTCTTCATCTTGAAATGTGCGTAGACAAACTAGAAATTAACGCGCAGGTAAATAAATGAGTCAACAAGTCAAAAGGCCTAAAAGGAATGTTTGAAAAAGCACCGATTCATTCCGAATGCCCTTCCCAAAGGAAGAAACGATTCCGTCGACAGATAACCGCGCTCGCAGGCACCACGAAATCCGAAAACTAATCGTCTGGAGGTGAATTAGCCGCCCTCTCGGCTCTGAAACGAGACGACTTCATTATAGAACGGATCTTTTATAAACTTTTTACGTGCACCCCTTTCCGCCCAGCCGCGGTTCATCAATTATCCACACCGCTCATAAATTTCATTTTCCAGGCGACAGAAATAACCTTGGGATTTCTTTTCCAATAGGGGAGGCTCACTCTTGTTTCTTTATATTTTTATTCTTTTATGGATAAATTGCGAAAGGCGTGCGGGGTGGAAATCCAAGACATGAAAAGCGACTTAGGAGATTTTTTTAGCCGGGCTTAAGGGATATATAAAAAGCCCTGATGCTTAAGATGTCATGCGAGACCATATGCCGGAGAAATGCTGCAGGAGAACAACGAGATGCAGATGCACAAGTAACTTGAGATTGTGCTGGTTCGAGAGAGAGACGCGCAGCACCAGCCTTGCTGGGAAAACGAAGAGCGTTTTTACGACGGACGCTGCCTGCACGGGGAGGACGTGTGAGCAGACGAAGATGTGAACATCTCTCGCGGCGCGCATAGATTATTAAATATAAAAATACGAGATCAAGGAATGCGATATTCCTTCGTGTTTAATGAGTGCCGCGCTGTTTTAAAACGACCATAACTTGAGTGTGCGCATAACGATTACGTACGAACAGAAGAACGGATTAAATGATATTCAAAAACAAGAAAGGGTGAGAAGATAAGGACCATTTTACTGCAAATTGAAAAAAAAATTCTTTGAAACTAATATTTAACTTTTATTTAATCTGATTTAACTTGCAAGAGCTTTTGAATCTATTTATGCAAGAGAACTGGGACAGTATATCTTTTCAAAAGGATCTCATGAAGGTGAAAAGAGAATTATACGAATAATGAAAAGATTAAACTGAATAAAAAGAAATTAATTAATGCATTATTTATTATTAATTAATTCATGCGCAACATACGGATTTTTAAACATGTGTATAGATCTTTTTTTTGAAAGTCAATATAGTGGTCGTAGGATAAATTTCATGTGTTGGCTAGATGTTTTTAAACGTCATGGTTACACACCTTCCTAATTAAAATAATAAAAATTGTCCTTGGAATAATAAGTTTTCCTAAATATTAGCAAAAAATTTAAAGCTTTAATTTTCAAAATTGGTTGCCCAAATAAATCATAAAAAAAATAATAATCATTATCGTATTTCGGTGGTTTTTCATCCATTTAAAAACCATAATAAACAATTTAATTTTTTTCGCATCTTTTCCGCAAAAACATAAAAAAATTGAGAAGCTTCCAAATTACTTTATTTTCTTTCTGTCTTCTGTATCTCTGCGAGAAAGTGTTTTTATCGCCTGAGAGAGTAAAAAAATACTCGATACTGGTTATAAAATTTGACCATCATAATTTTTTATTTTAGTAGCCAAATGTTAAGCTGCCAAGAAAATTTTCAAAAGTTTTTAATTTTCTGATAGAAAAATCTAATCGTTACGAACCTTTAAATTTTGATAAGCAGATTTTGTTTTAAATTGTGACCAATTAACTTTGAACTCTTGCAGTGGTCTGGGTGACGGCGAAAAAATGTAAATAATTATTTCCATTGTGCATCAAAAGTTTACCCACCTGATTTTCTCAACTCTTTTAAAATTTTGTGTTTTTTATTGGCAAGCCGCTTTGCACAGTTCACCTGAAGCAAATGCTGCATACATTTTTTTTTTTAATTTTTTTTGATTTTTCTTTATCCATACAATGATATTTTTGAGCACTTTTGAGAATCTTCCAGCTTCGCTACAGAGGCAAATTTAATGTCCCTCTCACATTCCCTTTGGAGGGATTAAAGAGTAACTTGTGCGCGCGCTGATGCTGATTTATCCAGTTTTAAATCTCACGCGTCCTTAACACCGGCAGTGCTGGTTATAAATAAAGTTGGAGTTTTCGCAAAATAAGATAAATATCGCACATAAAACAAACGCCATAAATCCACGGGGGGACAAACCAGCTTAATCAAGTGAAAATCTCACTCAGAGAATATAACCTGAGAGAGACCTTATATCGGAACATGCCTGGCGCGCACTCATCATCATCATTATCGGAGCAAAATGAGGGGAAAATTGCGCTGCCGATCAGCTTGGAGCGCAGCACAGGTGGTGGGCGACACTGCACTGAAAGGCCCACGCGGTCGCGCTTGTTTTTCTCAGTATCCAGTTTCAAAATATACACAGAAAAAATCGCGCGCGCGCATCGTGCATGCAACACAGTTATTTTTTTTTTTTTTGCTTTTGGCGAACAACGAAGGCAGCAATTAAATGATTACGATTCGCGGAGTAGGGGTCATTAAATTGAGAGTCACGTACGTAAATATTCTGCTTCAGGTACAAGCATTATTTTTCCATAGTATGTGCGCACAGGCGTCATAAACCTGTCGTGCAGCGCCGGTAATGTCTCAATATACACGAGAGCCGCGCACTTTCCTCCGAGAATTTCCAAGAGAACAATTTTTATATGTTGCTTAATGGACGCGCACGAAGCTGCTGCATAATGGCCCCGGCTTGTAAAAAATAATGTACAATGTGCGGATTCAGAGGCGTCTTTTGGAATTTTGGACAGGCACAACCTTTTCAGGCGAATAAATTTGGCATTTTAAAGAGATACTTCAAAATGGAAATGTATAAATTATGCTCAAGATTGGACCTGAAATTAAGTAAAGAAATATGGTTCCACTTTGGATCTGGAGTTTGGAAAAATCCCAAGTTATTACAATTAAATATTAAATTATGAAATAAACTCAGTAAAATTTCATTCTGCACAAACTGTTTCTTGAACTGAAATATTTAAGAAAATTGCAAGATACCTCCCTAAAAAAATTTAAAAAGCGCAGCGAGTGATCAAAATAAAAAAATGTGGTAAGGTGGAATGACATACCTCGGATGGAGCGTCGGTCGAGGGCCGAGTCAGGTCAAGGGTGGCTCGGGGAAAGAGGGCACATCACCGAACGAGAGAGAGACTGAGAAACGGGCTCCTTCCCGAACAAGCGCCTCTCATCTTATGCTCGGTGGCGCGGCGGCGGAATTGAGTTGTGAGGCCTGACAGCAGCCAAGCTCCGCCCGCCGCCGCTCGGACGTTGCCATCTCCTCAAGTCCTCATCCCTACCTCTCTTTCGCTGCTGCTCAAGCTGCGCGGTCCACCGTTTGTAATAAAGAAATTCACGTAATTTTTATATACATTACGTACGCGCCGCGCTGTAATTGCCTTACACATCTTTTTATTGCCGTTTAATAGGTGCGTCCTCTCATTAATTAAGTTAGATCTCGCCGATCGGTTCTTTTTTATAGCGTTTTGAATTAAATACCTTTTAATCACGCTCCTGTTTTCATTCTCGGAAACGGTTCTCAAAATGCAAATCAGCTTTTTTTTTAAACATTTTATATTATATTTTATATCCTTTATAAGCGGCATAAGTGATTCAAAAGAGGCTATTAAACTTATGACATAATATTCAAATTAAACTGAAACGATGATCTTCAACAACATAAACGGTTTGAAAATTTATGGAATTTAATTTCAAGATTAACCTTGCGAATCACTCGAGATGCTTCTTTCAAAATTATATTAAAATAATAATATAAGAATTAAAGATGTAATAAAAATTGATATAAAAAACCTTAACATTTTAATACCACGCAATCTCTGCACTGTGACTGTACAAAAAATTGAGAAAAAAAAACGTATAAACTGCAGGCAAAGTTATGCAACACGCTCTTCCCCTGAGGAGAGCAGGTCATCTACACAGATAATTGAAAAATTCAACGAGAATAAATAAATTAATAATTATTAGTTTAAAGAATAGTAATAAAAATTGCGTAATATTATTTTTGAAGCTTCCAATATGAAAAATTTATTAAATTTTATGTGGCGTAAAAAAATATAAGTGAGTTTAATCAAAACTTTCATGGAAATGAAGATTCGGGCTTTTCCTCGTTGCAAAAAATTGTTTTTTATTCAAAAACAAACGGCTCTACCAGTTTCGGTCACGGTCTGCGACCCTATTTCATGAGCAAACGCGCTGCTCGCTGACTAATACAAGAATCTATTTCTTGTATTAGTCAGCGAGCAGCGCGTTTGCTCATGAAATAGGGTCGCAGACCGTGACCGAAACTGGTAGAGCCGTTTGTTTTTGAATAAAAAACAATTTTTTGCAACGAGGAAAAGCCCGAATCTTCATTTCCATGATCATCTCCTCGAGTGTCAACTTCTTCAAACAAAACTTTCATCGTTTTTTTTAGCAACGCCTAATTGTTTTATTTGCCTTTGTTGTCGCTTTGAAGGAGCGCCCTTAATTCTGCTATTGTCGGCCAGTGAAACCTAAATAATAGATCACGCAAATGACACGAAATCGCAGCATCGAAGAGCTGACCGAATTAAAGATTTCATTGTGTGCTGTCGAAGTGGAAGAGCAAAAGAGAGACGGACGGGCGTGCTTGCTTGCGTTGGATTCAATAGAGCTGAATATTAAATGGGCTTGGCTGAGCAGAGCAGCCATTCATTTTATTAGCGCGACGCATTGTTCTGAGCACACGATTTATTTTACATATGCCTCTATCTCTTCAAGAGCAGCAAGGCATTGACATCGATTGAGAAACAGCTCCACCGTCGAGAAAAGAACCTGCAAGAATAAGAATGAATTCATTTCCAATGCACTTTTATTATAATGAGGTCGACGGAGCGAGTTTACAAAAAACAAGTTTGTGCTGACAAACATCATGAATTAATAATATAAAGAGCAACGCGCGCCCTTTTATCTTTTTTGGGATGCTGCGCGCTGTGAGAACAATAAAGTGCGTTACGTTTTGGTCGGCGCAAGTCATTCCACTATTGTTTGGATTTCGAAATGGAATGCAAAGCATTTTATTTTTTGCTCTCTGATTGAAAATAAATATATGTTGACAATTAAATGTCACCTAAGCTTTTTTTAAATTTATCCTTTCTTGATTTTATTTATATAAAAAATAGACACTTTTTATTCCATAAATGTCAGTGTTTAAATTAATGCATTGTTACTAAAATGTCAAATTATTAAAAATTTAATGAACTGCAATCATTCCATTGCCAATTCTGTTTTTATTTTAATTTAATATAGTTTAATTTTTTTTTAATTGATATTCAGTTTGGAAATTTTGTGGAAAAAATTTAATTAAAAATCATTTAAAATAAAAAGAATGATTCCAATAAAGAATAACCAAAAGATGTTTTGAGTAGATCGTGGCTCAATTACAAAACTGATGCGTGGGGTCCGCCGGCGGTGATTGGGTTGACCTTTGAGGTGATATCATCCTGTCACTCGCCCATTGATCACCGCAGCCACCACGTGTGCGGTATCCTTTATTAGTTCTGTGTTGAGAGATGCAGAGATTTGTGCCGCGCGCAGCAGAGAGAAACAAAGAGAAGAGACGCATATCACGAAAAGCTCTTGTCGACACTCGATCGCAACGAGATAAAACGCATCATGCGCGCCACGCAAAAAAGGGGACACGCGGATATGAGCGGTTACAGAGATTGATCGACAGGCTAGAGATGAACACGTAAAAAAGATATGAACTCAAACAATTGGCACGTACACAGCAAAAAAGCATTTGAACCGTTCCTGTCGAGCCAAAAGAGGGAAGATCGAATGACATGCTATAAATAATCAAACATTCAAAGTCATCAAAACTTTCTTGGTGTTTTTTACCTTTTAAAATTTAATAAAAATACGAATAAGAAAAAAAAATGCCAATTTTCCGACCGGGTTGTTGATTTTTGTTTAAATTTTAATGTACACTTTTATTCTTAAAGAGGCTCTGATTAAGTGTTTGGTCGGTGTCAGCTCGATTAACGGCGTCGGCAAATATTTGAGTCTGTTTTCTCACGTCAAATATTTACCGACTTTTTCAGTGGCTCTTCAGGTGCTAACTAGCGGAGAGTGATTACAGCTCCATAACGACGTGGAAAAGCGTCATCTTCCATTCAGAGGAGAGACTCCCTGCACGGAAATAGCGCTGCACCATTTATAATGTTTGTGACTTTCGTTTTCAAAAGAGGGTCTCTTCCTTCAATTCTTTCAAAAAGGTCGTCGTTTTTGTTATTTTTCACCGCGCGTTGGCTTTTGTTGTTGCTTATGGCTGGAGAGGAAACTCGTCGGCCCGCGTTTTGGTATTTTTTATGTTGCGCTAGCTCTTGACAATGGGCACCGCGCGCATTGCGCCGAATTCTGGGAAACGAGCACGATTATGGAATGAGAATGGCTTCATTACAACTTTATTACCGCAGCCGAGAGACAAAAAGGTGCAGCTCGCGCAAGGAGAAAAATCGTTCCGAGGCAAAAAGCGGCCGCGCAGAATCTCATTCAGCGTTCGGCCGCGGAATTATTTTTTTCTTTTTGTCTGCTGTTGGACGTTTATTTACAACTCTGCAGCAGTCACAAAAGCGCCGGCGAAAAAGAAGGAGCAAAACTGATTTGGCGTCACACCAACACAGAGGTGCCGATATAAATTTTGGTCTCACGCTCTCAACTGATCGCAATCTCCGATAATTGTTTTTGCGGCGGCCACACTAAATTTTATAGTTACAAGCGTAGGAAGATTTCTTTTTCTTAAGAAAACATTATTTCTTTCAATAATACTCGAAACAAAACTTTTGATCTGGCATTTAAAACAAAATAAATAAGACCATCAGGCAAATAAATTTTTTATTGCACGCTTTTGTGAATTTTAAAATAAAACTTAAAAATTTTGACTAACCACAAAAACATTAATTCTCAATAAGACGGAAAATTAAATTAAAAGCTTCTCAATTATGTTTATAACTTTGAGGGAGTGAAGATCCATATGGGCCTCTGATGAAGTACGTTTTGGAGCAGTCGAGCGTTTGAAATTTGAAAGGTCATCATGACTATTCCGTGGCGATTTCGCAGAATGTGCAGCCAATTTGCAGATTGGCTCGAGGAATTCCAACGCCTGCAAATAGCACAAACGAGCTACAAAGTCAAAGGGGCCGAATCGGTTGGGCGCGCGAGGGAGCAAAATCCCCACGAGAGAATGGTTTATAGCGATCGTGCACTCGCCTTGGGCCATTCTGACCGAGCTAGCGAACGAGAAGGCGAGAGAAAAAATGCTGACAGCTTGGATGTCTTTATTCTGGACCCAGTTGTTACATACCTTATAAAGAGGGATTTGAGGTGAAGATAAAAAGCGGTGGGCGCGGGGAGGGAGGGGGCATGTACGTAAAATACATAAGTTATATACCGACGGGCAACTCTTTCGCGCTCGTGTGTATATCTGCAGCGTTCTATCTCTCGGATTCTCTTCTTATAGGAATAAATTTTCCAGCAGCCATTGTATGTATACTTCCTTCGCGGCGTGCAATCAACTATTTTTCATTCGTCAGACCGACACGATATATATATTTCTTTTTTTTTTTGCCAGAGCCTCGACTCGGTATATATGTTTTTATTTACGGCGCGCTCCGCGAGGTGCCAAATAGCTGCATGTACGCAGCACACAATATCCAATATACACATTTATTACAGGCCCCTGCCTTCCATCATCGTCGTAAATAAAGACATAATAAAAAATAACAACAAGCCGCAGCAGGCCCATAGCAAGACCCTTATTAAGCAACCTGTTGCGCCGCGCCACTCAAAATATGTATAATAACGCTCGCCCCTTTTCTCGCTCTGGAAAATTATACCAACAACATAGCAAGGATCTGAAGAGTATTAAAAAAATCAAAGGAGCTTATTCACGTCTCCTACATTTGCAATTTAAATTATGATGAAGAATTATGATTCCCAGGTTGCTGATTTTCAAAATCAAATTTTACTTTCATCATTTTGCTTGCGGACCATCAAATAAGGATATGCCAGCAAAAATGATGATTTGTAATATAGTTTAACCCTAAAAATGAAAAATATAATGAAATCAAAAACTTCACAATTGATGATTTTTTTTAATAAAGTTGATCCCAAGAATAAAAAAAAATATAAAAAAATTAATTGGGTGGTGCCTTCTGCTCCACTAAATA